GATTTTTTTAAGCTTAATGTCAAAGATATACACTTTTCATTAGATTTATCTTATTTTTTCCATTTATTTTTTGTGTGTTGAAATGCAACAACTGTTTAAACACTTTTAAGGGGAAAAAACATATTTAATATGTTTTTATACACTCAAATGTTAGGGTGATGATCATGTGTAAAACATTAGTTCAGCATGTCCTCTAACACAGCAAATGAACAAACGGCCAGATCTCAGGAGGGACCGTTTATGTATAAATAATTTTTATACTTTTGACTAGGCCTGGGAAAGTAACACATTTTGCTGGACGATATTTTGTCCAACAAATTGTTGATGATAAACGATATTGTCAACATTATCTAGACCAAAATAACCACTAATATAATGTTAATATATCATAATAATGCAAGTACACCCTTTAAAATGCAACAAAGAAACCTTCATTTAACATTGAAATGTCCAGAACCAGAACTTCCAAATGAATAAAAATAACAAACAAAAATTAAATAAAAAAGGAATCTCACACCCTGTTAGAAAATGTTGCACCAAAAACAATAAAAAAAAGACCCAAAACAATAAATACAATGGCCTATCCATTGTCAACAGCCAAAACTGCACTTCAATAAGGATGGAAAAATTATTGAGATGGGCACGTGACGTGTCAAGGGGTCTTTACATAACACCCCCCACCCCAAATCCGCACAAGCCTGCTGTGTCCCCCCCCCACTTCTGAAATCAAAATTTCGTCCCTGGAGACGTTATACCCGCCGACAGTTTCAACTGTATTTCTTTCAGTCTTCCTCAGAGCGTCAACCAACTTCTTGCTGTCTTGTCATTGTCAATGTAGAAGCATTGAGGGAGTGCAATTGGCATGCTGACAGCAGGAATGTCAACCAGATCTGTTGCTTGTGCATTGAATGTTCATTTCTCCACCATAAGCCGTCTCCAAAGGCGTTTCAGAGAATATGGCAGTGCATCCAACCGGCCTCACAACCGCAGACGACGTGTAACCACACCAGCCCAGGACCTCCACATCCAGCAGGTTCACCTCCAAGATCGTCTGAGACCAGCCACTAAGACAGCTGCTGAAACAATTGGTTTGCATAACCAAACAATTTCTGCACAAACTGTCAGAAATGTCTCAGGGATGCTCAACTGCATGCTCGTCGTCCTCATCAGAGTCTTGACCTGACTCCAGCTCGTCGCCGTAACAGACTTGATTGGGCAAATGCTCACATTCGATGGCGTCTGGCACGTTGGAGAGGTGTTCTCTTCACGGATGAATCTCGGTTTACATTGTTCAGGGCAGATGACAGACGGCGTGTGTGGCGTCGTGGGTGAGTGCTTTGCTGATGTCAATGTTGTGGATCGAGTGGCCCATGGTGGCGGTGGTGGGGTTATGGTATGGGCAGGCATCTGTTATGGACGAAGAACACGGGTGCATTTTATTGATGGCATTTTGAATGCACAGAGATACCATGATGACATCCTGAGGTCCATTGTTGTGCCATACATCCATGAACATCACATCATGTTTCAGCAAGATAATGCATGGCCCCATGTTGCAAGGATCTGTACACAATTCTTGGAAGCTGAAAATGTCCCAGTTCTTGCATAGCCAGCGTACTCACCAGACATGTCACCCGTTGAGCATGTTTGGGATGTGCTTGACCTGTGTATACAACAGCGTGTACCAGTTCCCACTAATATCCAACAACTTCGCACAGCCATTGAAGAGGAGTGGACCAACATTCCACAGGCCACAATTGACAATCTGATAAACTCTATGCGAAGAAGATGTGTTGCACTGCATGAGGCAAATGGTGGTCACACCAGATACTGGCCGGTTCTGAGTCCCCAGACCCCCAATAAAGCAAAAAACTGCACATTCCAGGGTGGCCTTTTATTGTGGGCAGTATAAGGTACACCTGTGCACTACTCACGATGTCAGATCAGCATCTTGATGTGGCACACCTGTGAGGTGGGATGGATTATCTCAGCAAAGCACAGGTGCTCACTATCACACATTTAGACTCATTTGTGAACAATGTTTGAGAGAAATGGTAATATTGTGTATCTGGAATGAATTTTAGATCTTTAAGTCCCATCTCATGAAAAATCGGAGTAGAAACAAAGGTGTTGCATTTATATTTTTGTTGAGTGTATATATACAGTGGGTACAGAAAGTATTCAGATCCCTGTCAAATTTTCACTCATTGTTTTGCAGCCATTTGCTAAAATCAATTACATGAATTTTTCCCTCATTAATGTACACACAGCACCCCATATAGACAAAAAACAGACTTTTAGAAATGTATGCAGAGTTATTAAAAAAAGACAAACTGAAATATCACATGGTCCTAAGTATTCAGACCCTTTGTGACACTCGTATATTTAACTCGGGTGCTTTCCATTTCTCCTGATCATCCTTGAGATGGTCCTACAACTTCATCGGCTTCCAGCTGCATTTGATTGTACTGATTGGACTTGATTAGGAAAGCCACACTCCTGTCTATATAGGACCTTACAGCTCACAACGCATGTCAGAGCAAATGAGAATCATGGGGTCAAAGGAAATGCCTGAAGAGCTCAGAGACACAATAATGGCAAGGGACGAATCTGGCCAAGGTTACAAAAACATCTCTGCTGCACTTAAGGTTCCTAGGAGCACAGTGGCCTCCATAATCCTTAAGTGGAAGATGTTTGGGATGACCAGAATCTTTCTCAGAGCAGGCCATCCGGCCAAATGGAGCTACCAGCGTAGAAGAGCCTTGATGAGTGAGGTAAAGAAGAACCCAAAAATCACTGTGGATGAGCTCCAGAAATGCAGTCAGGAAATGGGAGAAAGTTGTAGAAAGTCAACCATCACTGTAGCCTTCCACCAGTCATGGCAGAGTGGCCCGTTGGAAGCGTCTCATCAGTGCAAGACATATGGGGGTAGTGTTTTTCAGCTGCTGAGTCAGGACGACTGGTTGCAATCGAGGGAACGATGAATGCGGACAAGTCCAGGGATATCCTGGACAAGAACCTTCTCCAGAGTGCTCAGGACCTCAGTCTGGGCCAAAGGTTTACCTTCCAACATGACAATGACCCTAAGCACACAGCTAAAATAACGAAGGAGTGGCTTCACAGCAACCCTGAATGTCGTTGAATGGCCCAGCCAGAGCCCTGACTTAAACCCAATTGAGCATCTCTGGAGAGACCTAAAATTGTCTGTCCACCAATGATCCCCAAATCCAGGTGTAAGACACTTGTTGCATCTTTACCAAGAAGACTCATGGCTGTATTAGCTCAAAATGGTACTTCTACTGAATACTGAGCAAAGTGTCTTAGTACTTAGGTCCATGTTATATTTCAGTTTTTTTTTTTTTGTATAAATCTGCATTTTCTGAAATTCTGTGTCTGTCAAGTGTGTACAGTGCTGGGAAAACCTATAAATGTAATTAATTTTAGCAAATGGCTGCAATATAACAGAGTGGAAAATTGTCGGGTGTCTGAATACTTTCCGTACCCACTGTAGGTTAACTTCTTGAGCTATTACTTTAACCCAGAAATAAGAGACCCCCCCCCCCCCCCCCCATTAATTCCACAATACTATACAGCTGCAGACCCAGAGAACGCTTCATTTAATTTACAGGACCACGCTTGCACTAGTACCTGTAACTTAATCTCAGAGAAAAATCTCAGTCTGTGTGCAGATGATCAGCAAAAGTACTTTTGTTTACCCTGCTACTTCTTCATTAAGCATGTTGCAGGAAAACTGGAACTTAACCAAGCGTATCTACTTGAATACACTTAAACCAGACTGAGAGCCCTGTGTTGTAACTGCCTTCTATAGTTTTGTATATTGTGTATCTGTATAGTTGAGAAATTTTGTGACCGTATCTTGTGGTGCCTCTTGCTGAGGACTCCCGTGAAAATTAGGTTTTTAAGCTCAGTGAGACTTTCTGGTTAAATAAAGAACAAATAAAAAAAGTAAAAATCACAATTTCTGCATATCCGCCTGCAGCTGGAGGAAATGCATTTTAAAGATGGAAGTCTACAGAACCAAGTAGATCACTGATGTAACACCAGTAATGGGAGAGGGGGTAAACGGAGAGTGCATCAGAGGGACCAGTGTGTTTTTGAGCAAAGCTGCAGGAAAAGTTTGGGTGTTTAATGTACTCTTAACAAGAACTGTGCACCCACATTCCCCACAAGTTAGATGTGGTGCCCATGCAGGTGTAACTCGTAATGCTCTGATGCAGTGAAGCGCATTGAATGCATTAGGACAATAAATATATATTTTTACTCTGTAATGGACATGATTAAAAATGTAGCGACATACAGCGCTTTTAAAAAATCACACAAGTAAAAGTACAGACCTTACAAATGACTTAAAACAGTATAAATACACAAAAAAGGCTACTCAATGACAGTAACGCAGATAAGTCTAATTATTTTCTACCTCTGCAATAGGGAGACTTCTTTTCAAGGTTTGGAAAACAAATATAGCTTATTAATAGGTTTACATATCCATGGCTCTAGCAGCGTTGTATGTGGAAGCATAAAACAGGGAAAATAACCTGAACATGCAGTTGTGAAGTTGGGCTCGGCTCTAGATGGTACACCCCAACCCCTCTCCCGCGCTGGCCTTCGCCGCCGCCATAACACATGGGAAAAACCCCGGATGTAAAAAAAAAAAAAAAGAGTTACACAACTGATCCTGGATATCAGTCAAAACCACAAAAAACGCAGCTTTGACGGTCACGTGATCGTGCTATTTGAAATCGCAATTTTGGTCCAAAAACGATAGATCGTTCAACCCTATTAATATGTATTTTATTGTAATGTGTATTAGTGTAAACAGTGATTAACTTGTTAAATCAAACACATACTGTTTTGTGATGGCCAGAAGGCTGTCAAAAGGACTGTTAATGGAAGATCTAGTTGTTAGAATTAAGGGAGTTCTAGTTCAAAGCCATTTTTCAGCTGTGAATATAAATCGGGTATTTCTATGTTCCCTACAGATGCTCATCTGGTGGTGCTGGTTAAAGAAGAAGTTACTGAAGAACAGAGTGCTGATGTGTATCAGCGGGACTCAGAACACCTCCACATAAAGAAGGAAGAGGAGGAACTCTGGACCAGTCTGGAAGGAGAGCAGCTCAATTTAAAGGAGGAGACTGGTGCCGCCGGGTTTCCATTCACTGCTGTTTCTATAAAGATTGAGAATGATGAAGAGAAACCTTTGTTCTCACATCTTCAGCAGCAAATAGAAGACACAGATGTCCCAACCAGCAGCTCAGCTTACCTCATGAAAGCAAAAACTGGTGGAGCAGAAATTAGCAGCCACCCAGATATGAACCCTCATGAACAAACCTCCGATTCTTCAGAGACTGAAGTTAGTGAAGATGATAAAGAGGAGGATGATTTGAATCTAGATTCTGAGTTGTCAGACTCTGGGGACGGAGACAATGACTGGAAAGAGAACGTGTCGTCTGAGTCGGAAGTTAAGACTGTCAACAAATCCTTTAGCTGCCCCGAGTGTGGTGAACAATTTCTGCACAAACAGTCTCTCAAGGAACATGTGAGACTGACAAGTCATTCAGCAATGAGGTCTTCAGGCTTTTTGCGTAACACGAAATGTGTAAAGCAACATGTAGACTCTTTCAGGAAAGTCCAGACAGAACTAAAATTTTTCATGTGTGATGACTGCGGAAAAAGATTTAATAAAAAATCTAATTTAAACAGTCACATGAGTATCCACACAGGACAGAAACCTTTTGCTTGTGATCTCTGTGGACAAACATTTAGATTAAAGGCATATTTAAACAGTCACATGAGTGTCCACACAGGACAGAAGCCTTTTGCCTGTGAGTTTTGTGGACAAACATTTAGACGAAAAGAACATTTAAACACTCACGTGATTGTCCACACAGGAGAGAAGCCTTTTTCCTGTGAGCTTTGTGAACAAAGATTTACCCGAAAGGAATATTTACACAAGCACATAAAAGCCCACACAGGACAGAAACCTTTTGCTTGTGAGGTTTGTGGAAAAAGATTAAGCCAAGAGAATATTATAAACGGTCACATGTGTGTTCACACTGGACAAAAGCTTTTTGCTTGCAAGGTTTGTGGAAAAAGATTAAGCCAAGAGAGTATTATAAACGGTCACATGTGTGTTCTCACAGGACAGAAGCCTTTTGCCTGTGAGATTTGTGGACAAAGATTTAGCCAAAAGAAACATTTAAACAGTCACATAAGAGACCACACAGGTCACAAGCAGTTTGCCTGTGAGATTTGTGGGCAAAGATTTAGCCAAAAGGAACATTTAAACAGTCACATAAGAGACCACACAGGACAGAAGCCTTTTGCGTGTGAGATTTGTGGGCAAAGATTTTGTCAAAAGAAATATTTAAACAGTCATATAAAAATCCACACGGGAGAGAAGCCTTTTGCGTGTGAGATTTGTGGACGAAGGTTTAGCCAAAAGTCAAATTTAAACAGTCATATAAAAGTCCACACAGGAGAGAAGCCTTTTGCCTGTGAACTTTGTGGACAAAGATTTAGCCGTAAGGAACGTTTAAACAGTCACATAACAGTCCATACAGGACAAATGCCTTTTGCTTGTGAGGTTTGTGGACAAAGATTTAACCGTAAGGAACGTTTAAACAGTCACATAAGAATCCATGCAGAACAAAAAGCCTAAATTGCCTGTGAGGTTTGTGGACGAAGGTTCATTCACAAGAAACCGTTATACAGTCAGATGAAAGTCTTTTTACATATCTGTAAACTTGTTGCTGTTTGGTGAAAATTGCTGTTTTTGAAGCCAAATATGTTCATGTGAATTGTATAAGAGTTTCTTTTAGGGTGGTGGGCATGGCTGCAACTATTATAAATGTTGGTGCATGATTATCATCTGAGAAATAATCATTGTGTCAAAAATATTGCAATTGTTTTACATAAATTGAGTTTGCATGTTAATAGAGTAATATGCAACATCTCTTCTGTTCTGGGTCAAATTGACTTGCTGACTAAAAATCAAAACTAATGACTCAAGATAATTTGTATTGAAAGTAAACTTTATATAGGTACTGTTTTGGAACAAAATAACAAAACAAAAATATATGGATTGGCATAATGAACTCCACAGAACACAAATGACATATGTTGTGACAGTAAAAACTATGCATAGAACCAGAAATACACAAGAATGATTAGGTGAAAATGAACAAGGTGCATGTGTCTACACAGCACTTGAGGGACATGTCATTAGTGTGTTTTGTACAAATTACTTTTGCACATTTAAAAATGACTTGCTTGGGCTGCATGGTGGCGCAGTGGTTAGCAATGTTGCCTCGCAGCACGAAGGTCGCAGGGTCGAAACTCGGCTGTGGCCTTTCTGCGTGGAGTTGCGTGTTCTCCCCATGCATGCGTGGGTTTCCTCCGTGTACTCCGGTTTCCCCCACAGATCACAACATGCCCTATAGGTTATAAATTGTAAGTCACTTTGGATAAAAGTGTCTGCTAAATAAATAAACATAAACATAATATGACTAGCAGCTTCCTCATATTGCTCATTATCAGAATAATCGAATTCAGAAGTGCTATAGAAACAACGCTGCCTTGCCTAAATCTTGACACATCCTCCTCTGTTTTACTGTCATGATCAAAGATGAGGTCCAGAGATTCTTGGGCTGTCATCTATGCTGCTCATTTTGTAAAAACTGCAGAGTGTAATGTTGTAGGACCCCCTTTGGAGACTATCTTTATATGTTTTGCTCTTCCTCTACTGTAGTGATGTGTCGGTCGCGAACGAACCGGCTCTAAGAGCCGGCTCTTTGAAGTGAACGACGGGAGCCGGCTCGTCATTGGGCGCCGTCCCCTCCCCTCTTGCTTTGGTGAAAGCTACAGGCGATTGGTCAACATATGTAACTGCGTGTCCAGACTGTCCACACACAGAGCAGTAGGGGCGGGGAAGAGGGAGGATCACATGCGGGTGGAGGGAGACGAGAGGGAATGAGGAGGAGGAAAAAGTTAAGCGAGAGGGAGGAGATTGCGACGAAGACGGTGAGAAAATGTGCGCCAGCAGTCGGAAAGTGGAGATTTCTTAAAGTGTTCAGTTATTAAATCCATAGAAATGATAAATATTTGATATATAGCATTTTTTTTACATTAGTAAATCATTTTACATATAGTTTTGCATTATTTTGCTTATAAATGTACTCTGCAACAGAAAATCTGAGGAGCCACTTGGGAGCCGAAAGAGCCGGCTCTTTTTGGTGAGCTGAGCCAGAAGAACCTAGCCTGGCAAGCTTTGCAAAGCAAGAATTTGGTCTAGTTCACTAGGCTAAAAAGAACCGGCTCTCTAAAAAGAGCCGTAATTCCCATCACCACTCTACTGAGTGCCCACTCGGTGTTTGTGCAGTTTGCCTATATGAGAACCCTTTCTGTGGGTGGAGTTTACCCAGAGGAACAGAAAAGGTTCCGGACAACACATTCAATCTCCCACTTATTTTACAGGTTAACATTTTTATTGTATGAGTTGATTTCATACTGAAAAAATATCTTTCAACTACTTTTTTTATTTAAAATGGGCCAATTTGACCGGCAGCTTAACAGGAGCGTAAATCTGCTCTAACTGTAAAATGCTTTATTTCATGGGTGATCAGTCAGAACTCTTCAAATAAACCTACTGTTTACAAACATCAACTTAAAGTACTATAAAATATGTTGATAATATGATAATCCAAACTCACAATAAATAATTGAAAAAAGTTGTCTTCTTTGAACTTTCACAAATATACTAAAGCTTTTACAAATTACCAACTGATTTAGCTGTTAACGTAGAATTGTCTAGTCCAAGTTTGAAGAGTGTTGTAGTTTTGAGCTAGACCAGATGGATAAAAAATTCTGAAATGTGTGTTTTCTGAACTAATAAATAAAGGTTTCACATATCACAAACTTTGTTTGAGGTACTTTATTTAAAATAATCTAGTTAAGGTTTGTTCAGGCTGGTTTTGTTGTGAGCTGTTGATTCTTATTCATTATTCAATTCAAGTTTATTTATATAGCGCCCAATTACGACAAGAGCAAGAGCGGCAGTGACCTAAATGGTTGACATAAATATAATTTTACTTACGGAAAAAAATGAAGGGGAGACTCTTTGGACGCTCTATTAGTGCAATTAATACCACGGCAAGTCATTTTGTCCAACAATTGCACAAATAATATCCAAAAAGAACGCACAAACTGCACAACTAATGGTCTAAGTTGAGAGACTGAAAATGACCAAACAGTTTTCAGGCGAGGCTCAGACTGAGGCCTTTCCCCTGAGCTAGCTCTGTGGTCACGTGGGTCTGATGCTCATTAATTATTCAGAATTTTAGGCATTTAATACACTTAAACAGAAGAGTGAGAAAAAAATTCACCCCCCTCAGAGTTGTCATGAGTGTAAACTAGATCTATTAAACCTAAAACATGTTTTGGTACCAGGCTGTAAACATGTTTATATCTGCTGTGAAATTGGCATTTTTAACATGGGAGTCAATGAGGACTTGCTCGCTTCTGACACCAGCCCCTAGTGGATGAGGGTGGAACTGCAGCTTTGTCACTTCCGTGTTGGCTTCAATTTCATACCAGTATTATGGGAGCTTGGTCTTACATTATTTAATAAGAACAGATTGTGTCCGTGTCTTCATTTTTTTAATATCAATGCAAGTTGCAGTAATAAAATTATGTTTAACATGAGCCAATGCAACAATCAGTATAACAGCTGACTGAGGTAATTTTGGTGAATTGAAGCATAAAGTAGCATCTTCAGGAAAGCAGGAAATAACATCTAGGATGAAGTAGTACTGTCTGTATTTTCTCTTCGTGGATTGGGCGATTGGAGTTTAAAATAAATGGCTGAGAAAACTTTTAGGAGTGGCCTGCATAATAAGAGAAAAACGGCGTCTTTTGCGCCACACGTAGAAGTGCCTCATTGTGGCGTTCAATGACAAGAAAAAACGGTTTTTACGGCGCTCTGAAAGACGACATAAAGACTGCGTACAATACAGGGATTTCCGCCTCTTTTTTCGGCGTTGTTTGTTTAAAGACGGTGTTTTACATGCTGTTAAATAACCACACGTTCTCAAAAGTGGACGAATTGTGATCCGAGCCGCTTGCCATAACCCACAGCTGATCCCATGACGTCATGCAATCACGGGAGATACACCACACGTGATTTCAGACGTGCACACGCAATAATAAACAAGAAGAAAGACAGCTGCATGTATCAAAAATTTTGTGGGTTATTTTCTGTTCTGTTAACATCGGTTACAGAAGTTCACAGGAAATGACGTAATGCACGTGACCTTTATTTAGAAAAATTCCGGATGTTCTACACTGTTTTAGAGTCAGACCCGATCTTACATGGAGAGACAACAGGCCCTGCTGCTTACCTGCGTGTTTGGTAAGCGTAGCGCGTCAAAATAGACTCGGAGCTGCTGGTGGAAAGGAACTCATCCCCTATAACGGCGGCTAATTGGCGCGTAGTACGTTTCGAGGTCGTTTCACGACGCTTTCACGTGCCGAGGAAAGAAGGGGCGGAAGCGGCGCTGTAAACCATCACCAGGCTATGGAAACTTCTATCTCCTCAACAACTTGGTGAGTTCCTTCCAAAACCAGAGAAAATATTCTGTGTTCTGCGCTCGTTTTGCTGCTTTCATCAGATGGAAGAGGTTCCCTTTATCAGACTCGGTCATCTGAGTTGGTCATGATGCAGGATCGCTCTCTGATCCATCCTGCTCACACTCTCCGACGGAAAAGCCTCAGAACTTCATCAGCTGCTTTGTTTCTATTGCAGCTGTTAGCTAAACACGGCTAAAGCAGACCTGCTACCACTTCAGGATCTGGGACTGTCATCATCTGGATCTGGACAACATGGATACAGGTACACAACTACTTTGTGTGTGTGTGTGTGTGTGTGTGTGTGTGTGTGTGTGTGTGTGTGTGTGTGTGTGTGTGTCCACATCTACAGGATGGGCCATTTAGATGGATACACCTTAATAAAATGGGAATGGTTGGTGATATTTACGTCCTGTTTGTGGCACATTAGTATATGGCTGTGTTCGAGATAAGCCAGTTCTGCGCAGATTAGACCAGCGGTGATCGGCGAGCAGTGCATGCCGGTTAGATTTGTGTCCGACTTGACGCCGACTTGCTCTGACGTCATGCATACGTAACGATAACCTCGTGAGATCAAGGCGGCCGCAGATTTTGGAACAAGGCGCTGCAGTTGCTCTCCACCGGCTGCAAAACCTAGATGACAGGAAACGCCTGGCTCTCACCTGTTCTAAGATCTGATTGGTTCATATTTTGATCCAAACATCCGGTGGTAGAACATGAGATGTTAATTGGTCACGTGCATTCTGTAACTCATGTTATGTTGATGATAACTATATAGGTCAAAAAGAGAAATGTGTTTTGTGTTCTTTTGTCTCGTTTCCTATGAGCACACTAAACCTACAGCTGATAACCTTTACTTATTATTACAGTCATGTCTTCATATACAATATATACGATATCCACAAGCACATGAGGATGTGTTTCAGCTGCTAACAGGCACCAGGATTAAAATTGAAAATTAAACAAGTGTGAACGCTAACGCGATATCTTCATCCATCGTCACTCCCGAGCAGGAAAATTGTGTCCGACTGGCTTTCAGCCACTCCCCCTGCTGCTTCAGTCTGCTCTCGTCTGTTTTCCAGGCGAGGCGCTGCTCAACTCGAACACGGCCTATGTGAGGGGCAAACTTCAAGATGGGTGGTGACCATGGTGGCCATTTTTAAGTCGGCCATCTTGGATCAAACTAACTAAACTGTTAATATTGTTTTATTTGATGCACTCCACTTTGAACTGCACCAATCCAGCAACTGCTGCATTTTAATAACTAGTATTAAAGGTGAATACACTAACATTTGCACAAGAATAATTTTTGTTTTAAATTCTCAGTGACACACTTTGCAGGGGGGGTTAGGCATTTTTTTTCTTGACATCTGGAAAAACATCTCCTTTTGCCCCCCTTTATTTGACTTTCTGCCCCCTTTATTTTGGTCCAAGACCATTACTGGGCTGGCCCTATTAAACACGTTCTACACCCCCTGCTTAGTAGACTTCATGAAGTATTTTTAAGCCAGTATAAAAATGACTGAAACACAAATTTACATATTTGGCATTACTGACCAATATCTTTGATTTAATTTATTTGTTAAGAACATCAAGATGCATTACAGTGAACATTATAATAAAGTACATTTTTCTAGTGCAGAGAGGAGACAACCCATAGAAGCACTGATTTGATCTCATTTCAGAGAAAAATAGAACAGGTCAGATGCACCTAATAAATAAAATTACTAACAAACTGAAACATCACTAATGCGGATCAAACACAGATGAATGCACCTCTTATTTATTACTTGGAAATTAGTGGGTATGGTTTACATCAATACATTATTTTAAATCTGAAATTGATATGGATTGATCAGAAGTTGCTATGTGTGTATGTTTATTTGAAAACTATTTACAGAGCAGCCTCAGAATTGAGATTACCGGTAAGTTTTTTTGATCACAATAGTAAAGGAACTATTACAGAACACATTTTTCAATAAAATCAGAACATTAATGTTTACGTGCATGAATTAATACATCTGAACTCCTGCAGTAGGAACTAGGAAATATGAAATACTAGAACCAGACACAACTTTTTAATTTTTTTTATTTTAATTTGATTAAACTGATTTTTTTCCTAACGCTGTTGGCGTTTTTCCCACACAGTTAAACAAATTAATGTTGACTAAGGTTTGTGTGTGTGTGAGAGATAGAGAGGGAGAGTTAAAATAATTTTAAAAAACCCGACCGGAGAGGAGGCAGTGACTGACGCAGGACGAGCCGTTTTCAGCTCTGTCTTGTCAAATGCACCACGTACAGTAAGTTACGAAAAAAGTAACTTTAAATATTGAACTGAAAAAGAGGCGAGCTAAAGAAAACCTAGGGAGTCCTGTAGAAACGTGAGCAACAGTGAAGCAAGCACAGAGAGATCCGTTACTGTCTGTGTGTGTGTGTGTGTGTGGATGCCTGGGCCGAGCTGACTGAGCTCCCGGCTGCAGTTTTGTGTGTAGGGAGGGGCGGGCGCTCTATGTGACTGGCCAATCACAGAGCGTGAAGACAGTCCGTTACCCAATGAGGATTTTCCTTCAGCACGATTACAGAAATTTACGAGTTTTACACGTTTCATGCTCGTATTCGTCAAAAATGCTTTATCCGTACCGGATACTAGTCTGAAATGAGTATCCGGCTCATCCCTAGCTGTAACCACCCTGCCCTGCCTCCTCCTCCTTGCTGCCTGCCGGCTGTGATCACAAGCAACAACAGAGTAGTTCCCGCTGCTTCTTCGGGAAATGGCGCAAAAAAAAAAATCAATAAAACTTGGGATCTTGTAGGCATGGCACTGAGATTTCAGCCGTGGCGGCCCGCCACTGCTACGCCTATGTACGTGAAACACTGCTTCAAGATGGGTGTTGACCATCGACATACAATTATTGGACAATGGGTTTCCATAGGCTCCAATAAGTTTTCGAGCTGAAATGGGAGGTGGCCACCACCGCCATTTTGACCGTGTCACAGGTTCCTTCAAGCCTAGACAATTCCACAAAAGGGAAGAGAGGTGGAGCTGAGGGTGGGGCTGTAAGGCTGGGATCAACTGACGACACCCAGTCGAACTAGCTACAAGCTAACCTGAAGCTAACCCAAAGCTAACGCGGAGGTGGGAGCTAAGCTAACGGAGGTAGCAACCTAGCTACAACCGGAGTTAACTGTGCACAACACCAGAGCTTCTGAGTCAGAGATACGCCGGGCTGACCGCTGGGTAAAACCGGGTGGAACACAGAGGTCTCTGAGAGCTCCACAAGCCGGTGTTGTGCCAAAGTGGTTACCCCCGTCAAAAATTGTTTCCCCATTCACGGTAGCGATACTATAATACTGTAAAACCAGACGTGATCATGGAAACACGTCGCTCTCCGGTGAATTTACACTCGGTTTACACTTTGTTTTTGTTGGCGTTGCTATCACGAAATAGTTTACTTGAAAAATAAATCACAGTACAACCAATAACTACAGTAACGTTGCAGAGTGTTTCTTCACAGCAAAAGTTAAGGAGGGATACATATTTTATCGGGCTGTGTGGCCTCGGCTGCCAAAATGTGTGCCCCCCATCAATAATGCACATTGGTGTTGCTATCACGAAATAGTTTATTTGCAAAATAAGTCACAGTATAACTAATAACTAGAGAAACTTTTCTTTTTTTAGGCTTCTTAATTTAACGTGTAATGTTCTCCAAAGTTTCTGTAGTTATTAGTTCTACTGTGACTTATTTTGCAAATAAACTATTTCGTGATAGCAACTCCAACAAAAACAAAGTGTAAACCGAAGGGAAATAATTTTTGACGGGGGTAACTACTTTGGCACAACACCGGCAGCTGCATAGCAGACAAGCGCCGCTGTGATCTGAGATGAACAGAGCTGCCGCTGGGGAGAACCGGGTGGAAAGGTTTCCATCCCAGAGCTCAACAAGCCGGCAGCCCGCGCAGCAGACAGAAGCCGCGATCAGACAGAGATGCGCCAAGCTGCAGGGAGGGGAGAACGGGTGGAAAACCGAGGTCTCCCGAGTCGGAACCCAGCTCCACCAACATGCTATATTTCAACCCATTTTCTAAAGTGCAGCATTATGTTAAATGCACTGGGTTTTACCCTATTACATTTAAATTTCATGGTTAAGAGCCTTCCATCTCTCCAGGACCTGTACATCTCCAGAACTCTGGGGCGTGCAGGTCGGATAGCAGCTGACCCTTCTCACCCGGGTCACAGACTTTTTGAGCCGCTTCCCTCAGGCAGGAGGTTACGGTCCATCCGGACCAGAACCTCCCGCCATAAGAACAGTTTCTTTCCATCTGCCGTTAGACTTGTGAATAGATTATAAACACACAACCATGCTCGTCTTCTGTACTCGACACAACGTCACGTTATCGGCCATATTACCATTACCTGCCTTTTTTATCGCTGAAAGTTTTATTCTAGTTTTTTTTATTATATTTTATTATATTTTTAATCTTATTATTCATGTTATATGTAGCACATTAGTACCGAAGCAAGTTCCTAGTTTGTGAATTGTTTGTTCACTGACAATGGCAATAAACCTATTCTGATTCTGATTCTGATTAAACAGTACATGTTAAAATCTAAGCTCAGCTCGGCAGTGACCTAAAATACATAAATATAATTTTACTTACCAAGAAATGAAGTGGAGACTCCTTGGACGCTCTATTAGTGCAATTAATGCCACATCAAGTCATTTTGTCCAACAATTGCACAAATAATATCCAAAAAAGAAAACACAAACACAGAGACTCAAAATCCCGGAGCAGTTTACAGATCAGACCGAGGCTCTACTGAGGCCTTTCCACGGAGCTAGCTCTGTGGTCACGTGGGTCTGATGCTCATTAATTATACAGAATTTTAGGCTTTTAATACACTTAAACAGAAGAGTGAGAAAAAAAATCACCCCCCTCAGAGTTGTCATGAGTGTAAACTAGATCATTTAAACAAAAAACGTGTTCTGGTACCAGGCTGTAAACATGTTTATTTCTGCTGTGAAATTGGTATTTATAACATGGGAGTCAATGAGGATTTGCTCACTTCTGACACCAGCCCCTAGTGGATGAGGGCGGAACTGCAAGTTTTGGTACTTCCGGGATTGCTTCAATTTTTGCGCCGCATTGTGGGGGCTTGGTGGTGACCATGGTGGCCATTTTGAAGTCGGCCATCTTGGATCAAACTTTGTTTTGTTTTGTTTTTCAATAGGAAGAGCTGTGCTTGGTTTAAGCATAACTTTATTCTTTCATGAATAAAGTGGATCCTACAATGCAGATAGGATTTTACTATCACCCAGAAAATGAGCTTCTAGTCTGAAGTGTGATCAGCTATGTGCCTTCTAATAATAAAGACAAGATGATTGCTTGTCAAACAACTTTTAAATAACTTTGTAACCCGTCAATACAAATGCTACAGTCAGATGGAGGCTCGCCAATTATGTAGCATAATGGTTTATGGCTCTTTTATTAAAACAAAAATAAGATGGACACATAATGACTTGTGTTCACAAGAGGCATGATGCCAAGGTTGAAGTGCTTCATCTTCCAATCTTAACTCAGGAAATGGCAGAACACACCAAGGTACGCCTCTGTAGCACGGCTGGTCCGCACGTCAGAGGTCAGGGACCATCAACAGGTCTGAGGGTCTGTTTACCGTAAAGATAAAAGACATTAAAGTCAGTTTATTTATCAGATTAATAATTCTGTTATATCAAATAAAGTAGGTTAAGATTTAACGCAAAGAAAATGTTTTATGCTTTAAAAATATTAGTTTCTTGATTGCTCAGTCAGCGACCTTTTTATCTTATCATAAAATGTATTATATTCTAATGTTTTATTTGTGTGTCCAGAGAGAAACACACACACACACACACACCCACCTTAAAGGTTGTTTCATATGTCTTTTCCATTATGGTGGTGAAATGGGATCAGCCTGGTACGTAGTTATCGTATCCTGGGTTGAGCTGCTTGATCATCTCTTTAAAACCTTGATCACCGACCATGGACAGGAGTCTGGTGACCAACATGCTCACAACGGCCTCGGTCAGGACGTTCGCTTGCTGAGGCGTGCACGTAACAAACTCGTCCACTGAAGAGGAGCACTTTTATTAATACTGTAACTTAGTGGGATGAAATGAATCATTAGCGTTTGTGATTAGAGCAAAAATACGGGACATACAAACGTGTTCTAAAGGTAATAAAATCACCACTGCTACTGGTGTTGCTACTCCTATAACTACAAGTAACTTTCTGTTGATGTTAGCAGCTAGCAAGAGGTAAACTTACCGAGGCGACTGTTTGTTCTCCGCCATGACGTGGGTCCTCTTAAGGTGCTCGTGCATTGCCAGTGTACTCCCATGAAAGGAGAGTTTCACTTAGCAGAGTTTGTACTCTACGTGCCTTTCTTTTGTCTTTGTATAATGCTCCCAATTACGTTTGAGCTATGTTGCCGACTCGCCATGTTTTTTTTTCTCTGGTGACGAAGGCTGATCTGGATGGCGACTACTGCGCATGCGCATCGGAGCTAAAGTAAGCGGCGGCTGAGCAGAGAGGCAGGAAGCAACCGCCAAACGTGCCGCAGCAGGCGAGATAAAAAAAAGTTTATAAAATAAACAACGCGTAGACTATTAAATTAAAAGTCCATCCATCTATTTTCTTCTGTTTATCTGGAGTTGGGTCGCGAGGGCAGCAGCCAAAGTCGAGAGGGCCAGACTTCCCTCTCCCCAGCCACTTGGGCCAGCTCTTCCGGGGGAATCCCAAGGCATTCCCTGGTCAGGTGAGAGACAAAGTCGCTCCAACGTGTCCTTGGTCTCCCTTTCGGCCTCCTCCCGATTAGACGTTCCTGGAAAACTTCACCTGGGCAGCGTCTAGGAGGCATCCTGACCAGATGCCCGAGCAAATTAATAGTCGACTACTTTATTTGTCGACGTCGTCTTGACGAGTTCACTAATCGTGGCAGCCCTAGTGACCACCCACGCCGCATTCTGCTTGGACTGCTGGTGCCCATCAGCTGCCTTTAGAGTCCCACAGACCAAAAAGACCAGATATGACTCTTTCTTCAGCTTGACAGCATACCTAGCGGCCAATGTCAACCAGCGGGTTTGGATGTTGCCACCACAACTAGGTCCGACATCCCAGCAGCCGCAGCTCTGGTCGGCCGCTCCTTCAATGGAGGCACCTAACATGGCCCACTCGTCTCAATGCACCTCGTTTTGGAAGTTCTGTTGGAGGTGAGAATTGAAGCTCCTTTTGACAGGAGACTCTGCCAGACATTCCCAGCAGACCCTCACAATTCAATTGGGGCTGCCAGGTCTGACCGGTATCCTCCACAATCATTAAAGCCAATTTACCACCAAGTAGTGGTCAGTTAACAGCTCCGCCCCTTCTTCAACAAAGTGTCAAAGGCATGCAGACGCAGATCAGATGAGACGACAACAAAGTCGATCATCGGGCTGCAGCCTAAAGTATCCTGGTGCCAAGAGCACATATGGACACCTTTATGGCAGAAACACGGTGTTCATTATCGACAATCCATTACCAGCGCAGAAGTCCAGTACGGTGGTCCCACGTTAATCGTGCGGGCTACGTTAAAAAAAAAAAACCTGCAAAAGGTGAAATCTGCAAAGTAGCCAGCATTATTTTTAAAAATTGTAATAACTGTTTTAAGGCTATATAACCCCTGTTTACACACTTTCTGCACTTTTCTCACACAGGAATGAACATTTTCACACTTTTTTCTCTTGTTTAAACATTCTCAATGCCCTAATCATGACACGGCACTGTAAAAAATAAAATAAAATCCCACCTCTCAATCTCGCACACCAACTCAGGGTCCTTCCCCATCAGAGAGGTGACATTCCAAGTGCCAGCTTCTGTAGCCGGGATCATACTGCCAAAGTCCTCGCCTTTGTCATCCCCAGAAAAGACACTCAATTCAAAACGATTTCCTGTTTTCTCTGTTTTTACTTTAAGTAAAAATACAACTGTTACCTGTGTGGTTACGGTGTTGGTAATTCACATTGTGTGTTTCTGTGTTTCCCACAGGTGCTCAACAGAAGGTGGCAGTGAAAGATGTTCCTGAAGAATGGAGTGCGACTGTGCACCAGATGGACCCAGAACACTTCCAAATAAAGGAGGAAAAGGAGGAATTCTGGACCCGTTTAGAGGGAGAACAGCTCCATTTGAAGGAGGAGACTGATGCCGCCGTGTTTGCATTCACTGCAGTTTCTATAAAGTGTGAGGATGATGAAGAGAAACCTCTGTTCTCACCGCTTCGTCAGCAGCAAATCGAAGACAGCGATGTTCCAACCAGCAGCTCAGGTGACCAGATGACAGCAAAAACTGTTGGAGAAGGAGAAACTAGCAGGAACTTGGATCTAAACCCTTTAGAACAGACATCTGATTCTTCAGAGACTGAAATGAGTGAAGATGAAGAAAAGGATGATGATGGTGTGAATCTAGACTTTGAGCTGTCAGACTGTGGGCCTGAAAATGGAGATGCAGACATGGACTGGAATGAGAACAGGTCCTCTAAGTCAGATGTTAAGATTGTTAACAAGTCCTTCTGTTGTGGAAAACAGTTTCTCAGTAAGTGGTTTCTCCAGGAACATGCGAGAGTGGCAAGTCATTCAGCAATAAGGCCTTCAGATGGTTTGGTTAATAAGAAACGTGTTAGAGCGAAGCGACATGTAGACTCATGCAGAGAAGTCCAGACAGAACTAAAATCATTTAGTTGTGATGACTGTGGAAAAAGCTTTCGTACAAAATCTAACTTAAGCAGTCACACGAGTGTCCACACAGGACTGAAACCTTTTGCTTGTGGGCTTTGTGGACAAAAATTTAGCCGAAAGACAAATTTAAAAAGTCACTTGAATGTCCACGCAGGACAGAAACCATATGCCTGTGAGCTTTGTGGACAAAGATTTAGTCGGAAGGAACATTTAAACAGTCACATGCGCGTCCACACAGGACAGAAACCATATGCCTGTGAGCTCTGTGGACAAAGATTTAGCCATAAGACAACTTTAAATAGACACACGAAAGCCCACACAGGACAGAAGCCTTTTTCCTGTGAGATTTGTGGACAAAGATTTAGCGTAAAGATTTATTTAAACAATCACATGAAAATCCACACAGGACAGAAACCTTTTGCTTGTACTCACTGTGAAAAAAGATTTAGACGAAAGGAAAGTTTAAAGAGACACTTATTAGCTCGCACAGGACAGAGGCCATTTGCATGTGAACTTTGTGAACGACAATTTTCCAGTAAGTCAAATTTAAACTGCCACAAAAAAGTGCATGGAGAACAGAAACTTTTTGCCTGTGACACGGTTCGTACAGATGCTTGAAAACAGACCCAGGTTTACTGTGTCAAGCCATTTTAACATTTAATTTTCATTCACACCTTTTAATTCCTATTTTTCATAGCAACAAAGATCCCAGTCGTAATCGTACTCTTACTAGTATAATTAAAAAGTAAGTTATCAACAGCTATTTTTACTAGCAGAAATACAATGCATAAAAATATTTCTCAAGTCTAAATGTTATTTTTCATCAATAAATGGGTCTGTGGAGGGGTGGAATCAAACATTTTAGTATTGGGTGGTAGTGTAACCGGATTACAGGATACAATAAGATAATTAAAAGAAAAAATAAACAAATGGGCCAATAATTAGGTTCGGGGAGAATTGGAGGTTGTTTAAGAATGACTGGAGTCACGGGTATAGCATGAAACGGTTTATATACTAAATTTTAATAATAATGGGAAATATAACACATAAAGATAACACACAAAAACAGATGAAAACAATCGACAATAGTAAAATGCTCGGTATGAGATTTGATCATATGAGTCACAAGTCAGCCGGCGTCAAGTCAAATCCCCACGCTTGGGGTGAAAGTCAGAGTCCGGTGGTGCGATTTTTTCCTACCGCACCGTTGAGATTGTTCACAGAAGAGAGCAGTCTGCTCTTCAGTTACTTGAGATGTCCTGGTTCGTTCAGTGGTTAAGGCTCGCCATCTCCCTCGTCAGGAAGAAATCCAGTTCTCGTTCCAAGTGAGTGATCATAGGAGTCGGGATCAAACCCAAGGAAAAAAAAAAAACCCAGCCTGTAAACAACAGGACTGTTAGCGAGTTGGCATCGACCCTTCTCGTCACATCACAGCATAAAGTCTTACAGACTTAAACAAATGCTTCACTCTATTGGCATAGCCAATCATGTTTGGGTTCACAGTTCAACTAACATAACATCAATTTGATTGTCTATTAAAATAATTCTCAGTAGCTCTGGAAATATAATTACATATGACAACAATTGTTCAGCTCAATAGGCTCAGTTAGATTCTATTACTCTACACTATTCAACAAGAAATACATTCATGACAACAAGGATACATTTAGTTGTGTTTCTATACAGCATTGTGACACCTTGTATATCTGTAACACAATAAATAAATAAATAAATAAATAAATAAAATGTTCTATAACAAAATTCAACAAAATATAAATTCTGGTCCTTTGGTCCACCTTTGTAAAATAATTCCTCCCTAATCAGTTAGCTTTTATTTATTTTTATTTATCTATTTTTTTTATTATTAAATGTTTGGTTAAGGGACGCATTGCTAATTCTATGGCGTTAGCTATAATGCCCCTGAGGACCTTGTACATCTAGGCCGTACCACCATTAACTGGCGGTTTGAGCCGTTAACTCCTGGGAATCCCATATGCCGTACCGCCGTTAACTGGCGGTTTGAGCCGTTAACTCCTATATGCCCTACCACCGTTAACTGGTAGTTTGAGATGTTAACTCCTGGGATCTAACGTCTAGCAGCCCACTGCTGTCACCTCGGTTGCTGTAATTAGCTTTTTGAATTTAATAATTTACTGAATTTAATCTCATTCACTCACCAACGCGCTCCAACGGTTCCCTCCTACAGAGGATTGGTTCACTCTGTCGTCTCCACACAAATCTATAAGAATGGAATTAATTTGATAAGCTATTTAAGTTTCCTTTTTTTTTTTTTTAAGTTGCATCGTTAGCTTTTTCTCTTCTTTTTTCTTTACTCACCGCGTTGGTTCCAAGTTCCTAGCTCTTATTAGAAGGAGTCAAGTCCGCCTCTCCCTCTATCTATGCGGCACCCAAATCAGGGTTCTTCACGGCCTCGACCGTTGTTTTTTTTTCTCTCTCTAACCGCTCAGTCTTTGCTTTCTGTATCTGCGTGCTGCACAGCCGTTTGTCTCTCCTCTCGCTCAGCTGCGTCGCACGGTTTTATTTCGCGGAGGCGGGACTTATTTCTCTCAGCCAATGAAATTTCAGATTCCCACCTGGACCAATAGTATACAGCTTTCCTCTTCTGTTTCTGTTAGTGATGTTCAAGATTCTTGTTTTAACCGATGTTTAATATTAAACTCGTTATTTTAGTTATTCACCCTTCCAATAATTCATTATGAAATTATCTATTAGTTAATTAGATATCTATTAATTAGTATTGTTAATTTCCTTAATTTATATTTTATATTTTATCTAAATTGAGGATGGATCATATTAGTAAGCCAATTAGTTAATACCTCATTAAGGTTCTAGCTTCTGGGTTACATCCTCCCCCATTAAATATCATGCACGTCCCTGTGCATTGTTTCTACGGGGTACACTACTTCTTGAGTAAGAGAGTCAATAAAAGCTTTATTAAGTCCTTGGAAAAGGGACCTAACTACGGTCACTAGTGGATTGCCCAATTGAGAGTAAGTTAGTCTTTGAGGAGGCTGACTACTTCGTTCAGATCTCCTGACATACATCTCTGGTTGCACAGTATCATGCTCATCCGTTTCGGTTTGATTCTCAACTGAGACAGGACGAAGTGAGCTCTCTGTTTCCGACAGAGCTGATGAGCTATTCTCTAAGACTTTGGTCTTTTCAGATGTATGTGTCTGATCGTGTATGATGGGTTCAAAACTTACATCACGTTGCTGCGACTTTAGGACACCATCCAATTGAGGTAGGTTTGTGTTAGTTTCATCCCCCGTTTCTACGTCAGGTAAGTATACTTCGTTTTTTTTCGTTTTTTCAGGTAAGTATGTTGCTGCTTCTTTCACTCTTTCAGGTAAGAATGTCGCAGTTTCACTCATTCTGTCAGGTAAGAATGTTTCGGTGTTGATGCCTTTGTCAAGTAAGGACAATTCAGCATTTTCATTACCAGCTAAGGTTGGTTCCTTGCGATCCCCTGTGTGTAATGATAGTGTGTTTTGTTGTTGAATATTATTTACCGGTCCTGAATCTGCTATGAGTTCCCTATTTGGCAAGGTGACCGCTATTTGATAGGATGGTCGGTTTAGCACTTGTGGAAGATCAGAGTGATAAAACTCATCTACCTCTTCGTCAAGTGGCTCATCTGGGTCAGGTTCTAAGGCTGAACTCTGTCTTGTATGAGGTCTGCTAGGTTTCGTAACGCGTTCTGTTTCATTTTCTAATGAAGAGAGAAAACCACAAGGCAGTAAAAGATCTCTGTGGAGTGTTCTGTTGGGTCCTTCTCCGTTCTCTGGTTTTACAGTGTATACTGGCAAGTTTTCCATCTGTTTGAGAACTATATACACTGTTTGCTCCCATTTGTCTGCTAATTTATGCTTTTCTCTTAAGCGAAGATTTCGGACTAAAACACGATCTCCCACACCTAGTGTGGACTCACGAATGTTTCTGTCGAACCGTTCTTTGTTCTTCCTCGCTGTTTTTTGAGAGTTTTTTATGACAATGTCATAACTCTGTTCCAGATGACTCTTCAGTTCTTTAACATACTGAGAATGAGTTATAGAGGGCTTGTTCAAATGCGGTAACCCAAAGGCAATATCTATAGGCAACCGAGGCTGCCTACCGAACATTAGCTCGTAGGGAGAGTATCCCGTCACGTCATTTTTTGTACAATTGTACGAGTGAGTAAGTGGTTTTACAAAATCGCGCCAGTGATGTTTCTCAGTGGCTTGTAAAGTTCCCAACATGCTGAGTAATGTACGATTGTACCGTTCAACGGGGTTGCCACGAGGGTGATAAGGGCTCGTTCTGACTTTACGGATACCAAGTAAAGAACAAAGTTCCTTGATTGTACGTGATTCGAAATCCCGTCGTCCCTGATCACTATGAAGACGCTCAGGAAACCCGTAGTGGACTAAAAAATGTTCCCACAGGTTCTTCGCGACGGTGGTGGCTTTCTGATCTTTGGTTGGGATGGACACTGCATACTTTGTAAAATGGTCTGTAATCACTAAGACATCTTTAGTGTTCTTACTGTCTGGTTCTATGGAGAGAAAATCCATGCAAACTAACTCCATAGGTCTGGTGGTGGTAATACTCACCATTGGAGCAGCTTTGTCAGGGAGGGCCTTCCGACGGATACATCTTTCGCAAGTTTTAACTTTGATTTCGATATCACTAGCCATTCTTGGCCAGTAAAAACGGGACCGAATGAGATCTGTCGTACGTTCAACCCCAAGATGCCCCATATCATCATGTAGGCTTTGCATGACTGTTGAACGTAATGAATCAGGCAAGACTAACTGCAATGATGTCTCTGGTCCTAATTGGCGTCTCCGGTACAGTAAATCATTTTGAAACTCAAACCGTTTCCACTCTCTCAAAAGGTTAAGAACCACCGGGGGTTCTGCAATAGTATCAGTTGGCGGTTTATTGTCAGTCATAAGCAGCTGAATGACTCGGCCAATGGTTGGATCTTTCCTCTGCAAGGAGACAAGGTCAGCATGGTTATACTTGGGCACAGCAAAGAAACTGTCACTATTGTCTTCCAACTGGAATAGGTCTGGAATGGCCGCTGCAGACATGGCAAGTGACTGAACTAAACCACAAGGAGAATCAGTCTCATCCAAGACCATGTGCTTTTGGCATGTTGCCTTCACTGCTTCGGCTTGAAGTTGAAGCTCGACTTCTTTGACAGAGGATAAAAGATGAGATCGGAACTCATCTAGTCGTTGGCATTCCTCAGTGAATTTTGAGTTGTCTTCAGGTTTATCATGCAGCCTCCTAGACAGGCCATCCGCGTCAACGTTCTGTGTACCTGCACGGTATCTGATGTCAAAATTATAGGTGGACAACGCAGCTAGCCAACGATAGCTCGTTGCATCGAGTTTTGCCGTTGTTAAGAGGTAAGTTAACGGATTATTATCAGTAATGACAGTGAATGTGTTCCCATACAAATAGTCATGAAACTTATCTGTTATGGCCCACTTTAAGGCTAGAAACTCCAACTTGTGCGCAGGGTACCTAGTTTCACTAGAGCTTAAACCGCGACTTGCATAAGCGATTACCTGTGTGACACCGTTTTGCACTTGGTATAGCGCTGCACCGAGTCCGGTCGTACTAGCATCTGTGTGTACTAGATATGGGAGTTTTGCGTCAGCGTAGCCAAGAACTGGCGAAGTGGTAAGTTTTTCAATAATAGTTTGAAAGGACTTCTCACAGTCTTGGCTCCAACGATTCCCAAAGGGTTCTTTGGGGTTCAAGTACTTTGATCTACATGGTGGTGTTTTAAAGTTTTTCCGTTTGGGTGGATAACCAGCCGTGAGAGATGTTAGTGGCTTGACAATATTTGAGTAATCTTTAACGAAGCGTCGGTAATAACCGGTAAATCCTAAGAAAGATTGGAGTTCCTTCAAAGTCTGAGGCTTCGGCCATGTTTTGAGTGCTTCCACCTTATCTGGATCGGTTTTTATGCCATCTCGAGATACTATATGTCCAAGATAACGCACAGATGTCTGGAAAAAACGACACTTATCTGGTGATAGCTTGAGTCCGTATTCTCTAAGCCGTTCAAGAACGTGAGAAAGTCTGGTTTCGTGTTCTTCCAAGGAGTTGGAAAAGACGATCAAGTCGTCTAGGAAAACTAACACTTCCTTCAGATTAATGTCCTTCATACACTTTTCCATAACCCGTTGGAAAGTGCTTGGAGCATTTGTTATTCCTTGTGGCATACGGTTAAATTCATAAAACCCAAACGGGCAAACAAAAGCAGTTTTAGGTTTATCCTTTTCACACATCTCTATTTGATAGTAACCTGACTTGAGGTCCATCACAGAAAACCACTGTGATCCAGCGAGAGCAGAAAAGGACTCCTCCAAGTTAGGCAGGGCATATGCGTCGCGAATGGTTTGCAGATTAAGCTTTCTATAGTCTATACATAGACGTACCTCACCATTCTTTTTCCGAACTACCACTATTGGTGAGGCAAATGGAGACTCCGACTCTCTTATTATACCGGTTTCCAAGAGGGCTTCCAAATGTTTTCTCACGGCTTCATAATCATGTGGATGGATCGGCCGAGATTTCTGTTTGAATGGGGTCTCGTCTTTTAAGTTGATGTGATGTCTTATCTGTTGTGTATGACCAAAATCAAGATCGTGGTGCGAAAACACATCGGAGTAAGTGTTAAGTTTGTTGGTGATCCTCCCTTTCCATTCTTCGGACAAGGGCGAAGTACCGAAGTCAAAACTGAGAGGAGGGTTTGAAGGTGAAGTCTGTTGCTGCGAACTACACGCCGCAAGTACTTTCTGATCACTTTTGTCAGGTTCTGTATATGGCATAACACGATCGGCTTTAACTAACTCAGCGATCACACAGTTAGTGGGTAATGTGATGTCATGGTTAGTTTCGTTTCTTAGTACAACAGGTACTTTGTATGGACCATGTGAAGGTAAGGAAATGAGGCAACAGTCTACAATTATACCCCCTGGTAGAGAACCATTGGTGGGTTGTTCAATGAGTGCATAAGGCTCATGCTTGTTTTGGCTGGGTTGCATAAACCCTTCTAGTAACAGTTTTTTATTTGCAGGGAGAACTTCTTGGGTTCTCCCTCGAAGCTTCACCACACCAACTCGTCCATCTTTGCTTTGTTTTTTTCTGACTGCTAAGGCTTTTAGCACGTGTTGGTACCCATAAGAGAGTGCCTTGGAATCAGGTAAGTTATTGGCAGACAATTGCTCATACAAAGGATCGAGTGTGTTTGTGCCAATGAGTAGTGGTGTATCAGAGTTTGAGCTTATATCCGGAACCACTAACGCAAGGGTAGGTAACTCAAGTCCAGACTGATCGAGCTCTTTTGGAAATGTGACACTTATCTCTATGTATCCTAAATAAGGAACTGCTTGACCGTTTGCGCCCTCGACTTCTAACAGATTACTGATGGGTTTAATTGAGAGGTCAGGTAAGTGTTCTTGGTAAAAAGAATTGGCAATGGTGGTTACCTGGGACCCTGAATCCAGTAAACAATTACATTCAACACTGTTAACTGAGACTGTAGCTGTGCATCGCCCACCCACTAATCTTTTGGGAAGTTTTGGCACTGAATGAGCATGAACTGGCTTGCAAAAAAGTCTCTCTGTCCTTTCCTTAGAGGGACTTGGTTCTACTTTAGCACCTATCTGTCCCACGATAGGAGCTTCTACCGGTTTAAAGGAGGAGACTGAGCAATTGGCTTTGACATCTCCCACTCGCGCTGCTTCTGTCTAAGAGCAAGTCGTTTAGTTGCAACTAGTGCTGGATTTGGCTCGTTGCTACAGCTAGAAGCTATGTGCCCATCTTCTCCGCACTTAAAACAGTATCCAGGCTTTGGTCTGGGCACCACTGCTGTTATCTGCTGAATCTGTTTGGGCTCATCTGGAATTTTAGTCCCCACACGGGGTTTTGACTCTTTTTGAGTTTTCTTTGCCTTTTTATCTGTGTTGTTAACCTTAAGCTGTGCAATTTGGCTCCTGAGCTCAGCGATTTGTTTGCGTAAGTCATCACAGTTATCATCTATTTCCAGTTCACAAGTGTTTTTACTCTGAGAGCATGTTGTTTGCACATTTGAATACACTCTAGTTCGTTGTGCCCCTAAGTGTTGTTTCATGCGTGCTGCTTTAGTAGCCTGTTTGTCTTCTTCAGTGCGCAGTTTGAGGAGAAGTGCTGTAAAATGAGGCGGGTTGTCTTTCTTTTGTTCGAGTTGCAGGTTTGAAATCAGCGAGCTGTCCCAACAGCCTCTGCAAAACTGCTTGAGCAGCTGCTGGTCGGCGTCACTGGAGGAAATTCCATTCCTCTGAATAACTAGGTTTAACAAGGTGTATAACCTCTGAAAGTAATCGGAAGGTTTTTCACCACTGTCCTGGTTTGTGTTTAAGAAGCGAGCAAAGAGCTCGTCGCCGTCTTCGACAGCTGCGTAAGCTGAATCGAGATGTTCAAGGTACGTTTCCGGGTCGGATTTTGGACTAAGAGCTTTAACGATGCTCGCTGCTGGGGCTGACAGGCTCTCCACGATTCTTCGTACAATTTGGGACTTGGTGAGTGAAGGATCATTTATGCATAACACTACACTACTACGCCAAGTATCATAGTCAGTTTCAAAAGAAGGGTGTGGAACTCGCCCTGAGAACGGTTTTAGTCTGTATTGTGAAGTAGGCGGAGGGATAACCTCACTGCTTTTAACAATGTGTTCCACAATAACTCGCTGAACCTCAGGTGTGTTTAAAAGATTTGGTGGAATGCAAGGGTTTTGTTTTCCAGTCTCTGTAGGTGGACAATTGTCCTTTGAGTTGTTCATATAGTTAACTTCTGGTGTTAAAGGCAGGGAATATGTAACTTGGTCACTATGGAGCATTGGCTCTGGTTCAGTGACTGGTTCAGATGCATGGGTATCCCTTCCTAAAGATTCCCCAATTTTTGCCAGTTCCTCCATTAGAAGGTCTTTAAATGATTGATTGCTACGCGCAGCTATGTCCCTGAGCTCTGACAGATAGGCATCAGTGGCAGATGTGCTAGTTTCTAGACTGTACGCGCTGGCTAGGTCTTGAATATGGAAGAAAACATCTGGGTTCCTAGTACAAGGTTTGTCATAGGGTAAACATTGTTTCTTTAATTCCTTAACAGTGGCTTCATGTTGAAACTCCACAATAATCTGATCACAGTTTGGTAACTTAATGCGCCTGTTAACTGGTCCGAATCCTTCCATAAACCCAAAGACTTCGTTATCAAGGTCTGTATCAGTTAACCCACTGATTAAAACAGCATTTGAAACTTTGACCTTTTCTGTTTTCACAACTTCCATTTTAAAACACTCAAAAGTACCAATAATGCCAAAATGGCAAACCACTGTGACCTCCAGGCACTCTTATGATGTCAGTCAATGGTTAGCTAAGGTAACTACTCTACAATTCTCCTGGCTGGCTCGCCAAGTTTTATGTAACCGGATTACAGGATACAATAAGATAATTAAAAGAAAAAATAAACAAATGGGCCAATAATTAGGTTCGGGGAGAATTGGAGGTTGTTTAAGAATGACTGGAGTCACGGGTATAGCATGAAACGGTTTATATACTAAATTTTAATAATAATGGGAAATATAACACATAAAGATAACACACAAAAACAGATGAAAACAATCGACAATAGTAAAATGCTCGGTATGAGATTTGATCATATGAGTCACAAGTCAGCCGGCGTCAAGTCAAATCCCCACGCTTGGGGTGAAAGTCAGAGTCCGGTGGTGCGATTTTTTCCTACCGCACCGTTGAGATTGTTCACAGAAGAGAGCAGTCTGCTCTTCAGTTACTTGAGATGTCCTGGTTCGTTCAGTGGTTAAGGCTCGCCATCTCCCTCGTCAGGAAGAAATCCAGTTCTCGTTCCAAGTGAGTGATCATAGGAGTCGGGATCAAACCCAAGGAAAAAAAAAAAACCCAGCCTGTAAACAACAGGACTGTTAGCGAGTTGGCATCGACCCTTCTCGTCACATCACAGCATAAAGTCTTACAGACTTAAACAAATGCTTCACTCTATTGGCATAGCCAATCATGTTTGGGTTCACAGTTCAACTAACATAACATCAATTTGATTGTCTATTAAAATAATTCTCAGTAGCTCTGGAAATATAATTACATATGACAACAATTGTTCAGCTCAATAGGCTCAGTTAGATTCTATTACTCTACACTATTCAACAAGAAATACATTCATGACAACAAGGATACATTTAGTTGTGTTTCTATACAGCATTGTGACACCTTGTATATCTGTAACACAATAAATAAATAAATAAATAAATAAATAAATAAATAAAATGTTCTATAACAAAATTCAACAAAATATAAATTCTGGTCCTTTGGTCCACCTTTGTAAAATAATTCCTCCCTAATCAGTTAGCTTTTATTTATTTTTATTTATCTATTTTTTTTATTATTAAATGTTTGGTTAAGGGACGCATTGCTAATTCTATGGCGTTAGCTATAATGCCCCTGAGGACCTTGTACATCTAGGCCGTACCACCATTAACTGGCGGTTTGAGCCGTTAACTCCTGGGAATCCCATATGCCGTACCGCCGTTAACTGGCGGTTTGAGCCGTTAACTCCTATATGCCCTACCACCGTTAACTGGTAGTTTGAGATGTTAACTCCTGGGATCTAACGTCTAGCAGCCCACTGCTGTCACCTCGGTTGCTGTAATTAGCTTTTTGAATTTAATAATTTACTGAATTTAATCTCATTCACTCACCAACGCGCTCCAACGGTTCCCTCCTACAGAGGATTGGTTCACTCTGTCGTCTCCACACAAATCTATAAGAATGGAATTAATTTGATAAGCTATTTAAGTTTCCTTTTTTTTTTTAAGTTGCATCGTTAGCTTTTTCTCTTCTTTTTTCTTTACTCACCGCGTTGGTTCCAAGTTCCTAGCTCTTATTAGAAGGAGTCAAGTCCGCCTCTCCCTCTATCTATGCGGCACCCAAATCAGGGTTCTTCACGGCCTTGACCGTTGTTTTTTTTTCTCTCTCTAACCGCTCAGTCTTTGCTTTCTGTATCTGCGTGCTGCACAGCCGTTTGTCTCTCCTCTCGCTCAGCTGCGTCGCACGGTTTTATTTCGCGGAGGCGGGACTTATTTCTCTCAGCCAATGAAATTTCAGATTCCCACCTGGACCAATAGTATACAGCTTTCCTCTTCTGTTTCTGTTAGTGATGTTCAAGATTCTTGTTTTAACCGATGTTTAATATTAAACTCGTTATTTTAGTTATTCACCCTTCCAATAATTCATTATGAAATTATCTATTAGTTAATTAGATATCTATTAATTAGTATTGTTAATTTCCTTAATTTATATTTTATATTTTATCTAAATTGAGGATGGATCATATTAGTAAGCCAATTAGTTAATACCTCATTAAGGTTCTAGCTTCTGGGTTACATCAGCAGTCAGAAATTTGGTGGGAGTGGGATTCTAAAACTGGCCTTTGAAGAACTTGACCTTTATACACATTTCAGAATGGAACATGTATGTTTTATTTAATTTATTGCTGCTTTGTGAAATATTACAAGATATTATTAATAATCAAGTATGTTCTGATCAAATTTTGTCTGCCCTTGATCAGTCATCAAATTTTGATACTTAAGCAATGCATTAAAGCTGCTATTGCAAATTTGAAAAACAGTCTGCTTAAAGTGTTTGTTTCATGCCTCTTACAGTTCCAACACACACCCCCATAAAAAATACTCATTGAATGAACACATTAGGATTGATGACAGACTAAAATCAAAAGAAGTTCAGATTGACAGAAAATGTCTGTGTAAAATTATATTTTTGAGAAGTTGAGAATAAAATAAAGTGCAAAAGATTGATAAAATAAACAGCACTGTAAAGACAACAAGCCCCTCAGAGACTGATGTTCTGTGCGCAACACTATAAAAGAATGTTTCTCTATTGCCTTCCTTCATTGACTCCCATGATAACATGATTATTTCTGAAGTTATTTTTAACAGTGGTTAAAAAAATTATTTTAGGCTTAATAGATCTAGTTTACAGTCATGACCATTCTGAGGGGGGTGATTTTTTTTTGTAACTTTCCCGTTTAGGTGTTAAGTTCTTGAAATTATGAATGATCATATTTGATTGGCAGGTAAAATGAGCATCAGTGCTACCCATCGACATATATACTGGACAATTCATTTCCATAGGCTTCAATAACACGTTTTTGTGCCAAAATGGGAGGTGGCCACCACCGCCATTTTGACCGTGTCACAGGTTCCATCAAGCCCAGACAATTCCACAAAAGGGAAGAAAGGTGGAGCTGAGGGTGGGGCTGTAAGGCTGGGATCAACTGACGACACCCGGTCGAACTAGCTACAAGCTAACCCAAAGCTAACGCGGAGGTGGTAGCTAAGCTAACGGAGGTAGCAACCTAGCTACAACCGGATTTAACTGTGCACAACATCAGAGCTTCTGAGTCAGAGATACGCCAGGCTGACCGCTGGGTAAAACCGGGTGGAACACAGAAGGGCCATTCCCATCTGTACCGGGTCGGCCCGGGCCTGGTAGCACCAGTCGGCCACAGCCTGGCCCGGTTGATTCCACACATCCTTATCTTAAGCCCATGTGGGCTGATTCTACCCACCAATCAGAGGCTTGCTCTAATGGAAGGTGTGAATTTGCTGTCAGCAGTGGGTGTGTTGGCCCTGGTCGGCCTGAAGCAGACCCCCTCGAGAAGAGGGCTGAGAATGAGCCTTGGTTGGCCCGGAAAAATACCAGGCCACCCAGATATGTAAACAACCTACGCTACCCGGCCCGGGCCAACCCGGTACAGATGGGAATGGCCCAAGAGGTCTCCCGAAAGCTGCTGAAAGCCGGCAGCCCGCACAGCAGACAGAAGCTGCGATCAGACAGAGATGCGCCGAGCTGCGGGGAGGGGAGAACCACAAGCTGGCCGGCAGCCCGCGCAGCAGACAGAAGCCGCGACCAGACAGAGATGCGCCGAGCTGCGGGGAGGGGAGAAACAGGTGGAAAACCGAGGTCTCCCGAGAGCTCCACAGGCCAATAGATACACAGGACGAATCTCATCCACCCCCGGGGCTCCGCCGCTGTGTAGTTGTTTGACTACCTCAGCAACTTCTGCCCCCGAGATTGAACAGTCCATCCCCAGGTCTCCCGGCTCTGGTTCCTCCTCGGAATGCGCGTAGGTGGGATTGAGGAGCTCCTCAAAATATTCCTTCCACCATCCGACTATATCCCCAGTTGACGTCAGCAGCTCCCCATCCCCAATGTAAGCAGTGTGAGCGAGTTGCTGCCTTCCTCTCCTGAGGCGCCGGACAGTTTGCCAGAACCTCTTTGGAGCCGATCGATAGTCTTTCTCCATGGCCTCAGCAAACTCCTCCCACGCCCGAGATTTTGCCTCGGCAACTGCTACTGCTGCACCCCGCTTGGCTATCCAGTACCTGTCTGCTGCCTCCAGAGACCCACAGACCAGCCACGCCCTGTAGGCCTCCTTCTTCAGCCTGATGGCTCCCCGGACCTCTGGTGTCCACCAGCGGGTACGGTGGTTGCCACCACGACTTGCACCGGCCACCTTGCGACCACAGCTAGCAACAGCCGCCTCAACAATCGCAGAGCGGAACAAGGCCCACTCGGAGCCAATGTCCCCCACTGCTCTCGGGACTTGGTCAAAGCTCTGCCGGAGGTGGGAGTTGAAGACCGTCTTGACAGCTTCTGCCAGGCGTTCCTAGCAGACCCACACTATGCATTTGGGTCTGCCAGGTCTACGCGGCATCTTCCCCTGCCATCTGATCCAACTCACCACCAGGTGGTGATCAGTTGACAGCTCCGCTCCTCTCTTCACTCGGGTGTCCAAAACATACAGCCGCAGGTCAGATGATACGACTACAAAGTCTATCATCGACCTGCGACCTAGGCTGCCCTCTTAGCAAGTGTACCGATGGGCATCCTTATATTCGAACATGGTGTTTGTTATGGCCAAACTGCGGCTTGCACAGAAGTCCAATAACGAAACACCACTCGAGTTCAGATCAATCACACCCCTCCAGTTCATGCTGTCATTGCCCACGTGAGCGTTGAAGTCCCCCAGCTGGACAATGGAGTCCCCTGATGGAGCACTATCTAGCACTCGTCCCAGGGACTCCAAAAAGGGTGGGTACTTTGAACTGCTATTTGGCCCATAAGCACAAGCAACAGTCAGGACCCGTTCCCCGACCCGAAGGCGCAGGGAAGCAAACAAAATCATTGCAACCAAGCTGTATTTTTGTGTTTTAGTAAGACCTTACCAATGGATGGCCATTGCGGTCAAAAGTCCAATTTCCAAATGAGTACTTTGTCAGATCGTTCAACCTCCAGCAAAATGACAAATACATCAGACTCCCTTTCATCACTGGCAACAAGCAAAGAGGAAAATGTGTAAAACAACAACGTTTATGATTTGTGAACATTTTGTAATTGTTTGTTAAAAGCCAGTAAATGCATTTTGTCCTCATGAGCTCCCGTAGAAGGAAACACTGCGTCTAAAATGGCATCGCCCAGAGACTTAGGCCCAATCCCAACACTCGCACTCCCTTTCCAGAGGTGTGAGTGTGTAGGGTGTGTCGATTCTCAAGTGCGGAGCTTGAACCCGAAGCCGCTCCCATGTATTTTAGACCACTTGTTCAGGCTGGCTTTTGTGTGACCTTCATCGCCCTCTCCTTGTTCCGCTCTCCCTTCCTATTCCACCTTCCTCAGGATCCATTGATTTCCCTCTTTCCTCTTCACTCTCTTTCTTTACATTTTTATGCACAATTGTCTATTTTTTGCTCATTTGAAATATATTTTAATTCTAAACTCTTTTTATATTTTTGTTTTTGTGAAGTGCCTAATGATTTTTATCTTGAGAGGCGCTATAGAAAATATCTTCATCTTCTTCTACTATTAGTACTACTACTAACAGCTTTCTATGGTTGTATGTTACAAAGTTGCCAGAATTTTTCAACAACTCACCATTTTATTCATTTTCAACAACATTTTGATGGATATTTCTGGAGATTAATGGCAAAAGCTTTAAATATTGAGATGTTTAAATAAAAAGCTTCATCTGATGTCATTGCATCAATGTTACTATTGTTTTTTTTTCACTGATATTATATTCCTAATGAATAAATGCCCCTAGGGATTTCTTTCAGTGCAAATAAACAAACTTTGTAATGCTTTAATCTTGGTGTGATCTTTTTAAATAGCAGAAACAAGCATTAAATGCTCTCAGGTGGTGATGAGGGACCTGAGCAGGGTTAGGGTTAGCCCTGGTTGCTGGTTTCCAGTAAGCAGGAGATGACGCTGTCCATGGTCCTGAACTCTGACAAGCAGCAGATGTGACAATGAGCAGCTTCTTCTTGTGGGTGCTGAAGCAAATTTAACTCATTTCTGATTAATCTAAACATTTCTTCTAATGCTTTGAAACCTATTTTTTATTTAAAATAAGGCGAAACCAGGGCTAAAAGTTTAAAGATTAAATGGTAAAATGCCTGTATTTGATATAGCGCCTTCTAGGGTCCTGAGACCCCCCAAGGCACTTTACAAACCAGTCAGCCATTCACCTATTCACACCCTGGTAGGGATGAGTTACGAAGTAGCCACAGCTGCCCTGGGGCGCACTGACAGAGGCGAGGCTGCCGAGCACTGGCGCCATTCCCTCTGACCACCACCACCAGTGGGCAAGGAGGGTTAAGTGTCTTGCCCAAAGACTTAATGACAGCGATAAACTGAGCGGGGCTCGAACCTGCAACCTCCCGATTACGGGGCGAGCACTTTCCTCCTGTACCACCATCACCCCACAAATCTGTTTTATTTGCATGTTTTGCCAGCATGATAAGCAAGTCTGATTTCTATAGGCTTACACAAGTAAGGTTTGACCTAGACACAATGAATATACGTCTTATTTGTCTGGTTTTTAGGTGACACTTCCCCACCTACACATACACACACACGCACGCACGCGCACGCACAGTTATCCTTTTGGGGAAACCCCTTGTGGACCTGAGACACTTCAGCTGAGCAAAGAAGCAGCGAGAGGGACAGGAAAAGACAAGAATGTGGTGGGCTGGTGTTGAGGATTCTGGGTAATGAGGAGTCGGAGGTGACAGGTGGAAGGATTTGCTGATACGCCCTCAAACCGGTAGGTGGCGGTAGCGCAGCTACAGATGGAGAAGAAGAGTCTCCTGCCCAGAAGTTAGCAGCGCTGTAAACCATCACCAGGCTGTGGAAACTTTCTTCTCTTCCTTAACAACTTGGTGGAGTTCTTTCCAGAACCAGAGAAGATATTCTGCGGTCTTCGTGACAATCGGAGCTCCAGAATCAGGTTGTGGGTGAGAAAAGCTTTTCTCTAGACTTCCTGCCCTCTGGATCTGCTGCTGTTCCTTTGGCCTCTCTGAGAAACGCGCTCGTTTTGCTGCTTTCATCAGATTGAAGAGGTTCCCTCTATCAGACTCGCTCATCTGAGTTGGTCATGATGCAGGATCGCTGCTCGCTCTCTGATCCATCCTGCTCACACTCTCCGACGGAAAAGTCATCAGCTGCTTTGTTTCTATTGCAGCTGTTAGCTAAACACGGCTAAAGCAGACCTGCTACCACTTCAGGATCTGGGACTGAGTCATCATCTGGATCTGGACAACATGGATACAGGTACACAACAATAGCTATTCATCCAATAGCCCTGCTATAGTTTTCTATATCATTTTTCTAATAGAGTTAGTGTGTGTGTTAATTTTGACAATACATTTAAATTTAGTTTTCGTCTTTTGGCATTCTTTAATTTTAGCCACAATTTAGTCATCCAATTTGTTTTAAATTTAGTCAACTAAAATATATATTTCTCTTCTGACGCAATGGTTTTCATCTTCTGTGAAATAAATATCAACTACACCTACTTGGAACTGTAAAATATGAACAATTCGCATTTCAACCTTTGGATCAATACAACTATGTTTATAATTGTTTTAATAACAATAAGTATCGGAAAATACCAAAATGAACACTTGACAGTTTGAAATTGTGCTTCTCAATAATAAATTAAACAAATCCATAAAATATGAAGTAAATATTTGTAAACAGGACAGGAAATGACATCATGAAAACATGAAAAGGTATTCTCTAATAATGTGCACAGTCCTGCAACCAGATTGCCAATGAATCAGTGCTGCCTGATTTTACCCACACCAAATAGAGGCTCCCTCTAGTCATGACATTGACATAACTTCAGCCAACTAATCTGTCCAAAGGCGGGGGTGTGCGGCCGGTGTTGTATCATGGCACCGCACCAGTCAGAGGGGCATACTGGCAGATAATGCACATTATCTGATGGTATGCTCCTCTGACTGTATGTTGTCACTGGGGATAGGGTGCAGGGTAGGATTACAACTATGTCAGTCTGACATACCTGGTCCTGTCAGACTGGCCAATCTGACAAGGTATGGTGCTTCGACAGAACAGGCACAAAAAACAGGGAAGCAGGGCCAAAGAAGTGATTGGCTCCACACAAACAGCACCAAAGTAAACACAATTACCCCACCTCGACTGGTAGAGCTGACCTAAACGCCCTAAAAGGGTATCTTGACCCGTAAAAATCCAGTTGGAACCTTTAAATATTAGTGAAAATTATACTGATGTGAAACGAGTGATACAATGTTAATCACTGTTGGCCAAATAGTCACAAAGAATATTGATTGAGAAAACCTAAATTAAACAGATAGAAACAAGTATATTGAATTGAAACAACTAAATTACCCATTGTTTAAAACACCTTAGTAAATAGTGTGGAAAATATTTTCACCATTTCTTTAGGGTTATTCAAAAAAAGTCTTAATTCACTATCTGGCAAAAAATATTTGTGCTGTACCAACAATAGTCATTGTCTGGCTTCATAAAGATCACACACACACACACACAGTGCCCTGCAAGTATTCATAACCACTGAAGTTTTATACATTTTGACAAACTTACAACCACACACTTAAATGTTTTTTTTGGTTTATTTTTGTGATAGACCAACATAAAGTAGCATGTAATTATGAAGTTTTTACTTCACGAGCTTTTGCTACTCTGTGTATATCAAAGTACACGTCCAGTGACCAAAGCCTACTGGTTGTGCAGCACCAGGCTAAAGACCAAAGGTGACAGATCATTTGCTGCTGTGGCCCCAGACTCTGGAACTCTCTCCCCCTGAGCCTGAGATCAGTGGACTCCTTTAAAGAGCAAGTCACCCCCTACAAGAAACTTACTCCACTCCCACTTCATGTTTGAAAAATGCAACAAATGCTGTTGCTTGGCAGACCGAGAGGGCGGAGCCGCTAACAAATACACACACACACAGGCTCACAATGGCATTATGACATCATAATATACCAGATGACATCATAGCATACCTCTTAGCCAATAGCGGTGGCAGATTTAAATTCAAATACAGTGCAGAATTTTTCCCTGACGACAGCGCAACACTGACAGTTTTAGGCAGAATATTTGAATTTTAACCAAGATGCACTGAACTGCCAAATTATTGACTACACGTGTCTGTAGCATGATTAGACACTCCTTTATATAGTTTATCAGCAACAAAAATGTGATTTGGGGGTGACTTGCTCTTTAAAAAGCAGCTGAAGACTCACCTGTTCAAGCTGCTTTGGTGCGACCTTCGGTTGATACTTAGTCACTTCCTTCTTTTCATGCTGGTGATTCTTTCTATTCTATATTTTTTAACTGCTGTGCTTACTTATTTATTTATTTATTTTCAAAAATTTCAAGCATTTTGCAATTTTTGATTTATCCACCCAATGTATATCTGTTATTCTGATGGGTTTTTTTCCTTCATTTTTTAATTATAATTGTTCTTATGAAGTGCCTTGTAATTCTTATCTTGAGAGGTGCTATGTCAAAAAATTCTTTCAGGAACGCTAGTTCACAGTGTGACATAGAGCTGTCAGGATTTTTGAATCCTTAAGTTTTACCATCTATTTTCTATCAGAAGCTAATGCAGGAGATAGGTGTAGGAGACTATTTTCATGTTCAGTCCGCATGAAAAACTCAATGACCATTTGTGATCGAAAAAAACATTTTAAAAATTCAGTCAACCACAATTTTAAGTCTTAATTTTTATTTATTTATTTTTTTCTAAGATTTGACATGATGATAGCCTATTTATGTCTTATGAATATTTGTAATTTATATGAGCTAATTTATTTTGATAGGGAAATTACACTTTTGGGTTTTCGAGCCGGCGGCACTGAATCAACATGCTTAGTTGAGAGGAGACATTACATGGTTGAGGATAGGGCTGGACTCATTAAATCAATGATTGACTCATTAAGTCAAGCCGTCATGGCTGCTCCCGTGGTCTGCCTGTATCTGTCCTGTCTATATGTGTGTGTGTGTAACCTTGGTCAGGTTGTACTATGGAGTCAAGTTCCTATGCTCTGATCTGATCTGAGCGCTGGCAATAAAATTCATTCTGATTCTGATGATATTTATCTATCGATAGACAAGCAGTGCAATAGAAAAGAGATAGGTTTAGAGCTGCAACTAACCATCATGTTCATAATCGATTAATCTGTTGATTATTTTTACAATTAATCCATTAATCGGTTTTTGTAAATAATTTTATATAGCTATTACTTTCACCCATACAAATTTGAATTAACAAGGAAAACACCAGATAATTGTGCAGTTGACTGCAATCTTTTTTTATTGCGCCTGACCACAGTCAGTCAAAGTCCCATCAGCTGTCACACACACTGATTTGTTCTCCGCATTTGACCCATCCCCTGGGGGAGCGGTGAGCTGCAGACACAGCCGCGCTCAGGAATCATTTGGTGGTTTAACCCCCCAATCCAACCCCTTAATGCTGAGTGTTAAGCAGGGAGGCATTGGGTCCCATTTTTTCAAAGTCTTTGGTATGACCCGACCAGGAGTCGAACCCCTGATCTCCCAGTCTCAGGGCGGACACTCTACCACTAGGCCACTGAGCAGGTGTCAACAGTGTAAAATGAGCTTAACGGTGCAAAATATTTGTCCAGAATAATTATTAGGCATCAAAATACAAAAAAGGACATCTTTTCCACACAGTTGTCCTTTTTCGAGTGAGGAACATAGTTATGGGTTTGTGCTGTTTTTCACTGTGGGAGAACATTCTTAAACAGACGTGCTAAATTTGGCAAGCGCAGGATACACGACATGGGGGAGATTTCTCAATTGTATCGAGTCAATCAGCAGTTGAACACAATGCAAAGATACGGTGTAAAATTGTACCATAACAAACTCAGCGAAACAGCAAAGTCACAAAAAGTGATCCGAGCTCTAGTGAAGGACCACTGTATTTAGCGTGTTTATTTTCTTCCATTGCATCAACTCTGACATGTTTTCGTCTCAGATGTTAATTTAAAGAAGTCGTGAAGCCCAATTCTTCAACTGACAAAGCTGCACATTTGGCTTTGTTCCCTTTATTTTCTCTTTGCTGATGTTAATAATGGCTGTGATGCTAACTTTGTCTTTATGTCCTTTCAGCAGGCAATGTGGACAGATTATTGTTTCTAAAAAATACATAATGGTTGGATGAACCTGAACAAGGCTACGAGTTAGGGCTGTCGCGGTAACCGCAAAAATGAAATATCGCAATATTTCATCATGGGCCACCGCGATTACTGAAATTGATTCAACTCAATGATGCATGCTGAGAAGGATGGCTGCACTGGTATCAAAACGAAACGTTACTTCGCTCCTTTGGGAGCACTTTGGTTTTCAGTACGTTAGCTGCTGCGCAGCCAGAGTCCTTGGCCGCGACAGAGCTGCCACCAGTGGCAAAAAAATAATAATAAACGCTCGGAGACCTGCTTAAGTCCCGGACAAGCACTGCTTCTGCAGCCGTCCTGAAGAGAGTTTGAGCTGAGCTGGAGCTCACGCGGTACCTGCAGGAGGAATGCATTCACCCTAAAGAAACCCCCCTGACATGGTGGAGCAACAACCGGGAGAGATTCCCTTTGCTCGCCAGAGTCGCACGCAAGTACGTGTGCGTTAGTGCAACGAGCGCACCATCCGAGAGGGTTTTCAGTGTTGCTGGAAATGTTGCCACCCCTCTCAGATCCTCTCTCAAAGCGTATATGGTTAACATGCTGGTTTTCCTTGTAGGTAACAAGGACGTGACCGAGCTATAAATCACCGTCATTCGTGTGTGTGCAAGTGAAAGTGAAATTATAGTGCCCCGCGCCCGGTACATGTAATTTTTTATGCTTGATTTTAAACAACTAAACAAAATGGGGACTTGTTTCTTATTTGTTAGATGCTGCAGCCAAATTTGCATTTAAAAGTTTAACCTTCTCCTGAATTTTGTTGTTTTTAAGTTCAGTCGGACTCCGACTGTCGGAGAAACAAACGTTACTGCGATCTGTGTTGTTACTGCCCTTTGATCTGCATTCAGTAAAGTGTTATAAAAGAAGGCACGGCAATTTTTAACCTTTTTTAAATGTGTAAGCATTATGTTTAGATACTACTGCAATAAAAAAAAGGGCTGCAATAATATCGCACACCGCAATATTAAGCCACCCTGAATCACCGCAGGGGGAATTCCTCAACCGCGACAGCCCTAATACAGAAGGTTGATTTCCTGAAGAAAGAAAATATTTCTGTTTGTCAATATTTAAGCTTGTGTTGTTTCAAAATATTGATGTTGGTTTTTTGAGAAGAAAACACTTAAACTGCTATACTTAACTTATATTTCTTATATAAATTTTCATGTCTCAAACATTTTGTAGAAAGACCTACCACAACCAAATTAACGTAATAAATGTGTGGATATATAGTGTGTAGATATAAAGTGACAGTGGTTAGTAATTCACACCATGTGTTTCTGTGTTTCCTGCAGATGTTCTGGAGGTGCTGGTTAAAGAAGAAGCTGCTGAAGAACAGGGTGTTGATAGGGCATTGCAGGACCCAGAGCACCTCCACATAAAGGAGGAACAGGAGGAACTCTGGACCAGTCTGGAGGGAGAGCAGTTTCATTTGAAGGAGGAGACTGATGTCACCAGATTTCCATTCACTGCAATTTCTATAAAGAGTGAGGATGACAAAGAGAAACCTCTGTTCTCACAGCTTCATCAGCAACAAATAGAAGACAGAAATGTTCCGACCAGCAGCTCGGCTGGTCAGACGACAGCAGAAACTGGTGGTGGAGCTGAAACTAACAGGAACCCAGAAAAGACATCAAATTCTTCAGAGGCTGAAGTTAGTGATGATGAAGAGGATGATGATGATGATGATGTGAATCTAGACTCTGAGCTGTCGGACTCTGGGCCTGAAACTGGAGATGGAGACATGAACTGGAATGAGACCAGGTCTTCTGAGTCAGTTGTGAAGACTGTCAACAAATCCTTTAGCTGCTCTGAGTGTGGTGAACAATTTCTCCACAAGCGGTCTCTCCAGAAACATGTGGGAGTGACAAGTCATTCAGCAATGAGGTCTTCAGTATTTTTGGTTAAAAAGAAATGTATTGGAGTGAAGAAACATGTAGACTCGTGCAGGAGAGTCCAGACAGAAGTAAAATCCTTTAGTTGTGAGGTCTGTGGAAAAAGGTTTAGTAAAAAATCATATGTAAACACACATATGAGTGTCCACACAGGACAGAAACCTTTTGCTTGTGAGATCTGTGGACAAAAATTTGGCCGAAAGACCTATTTAAAGAGTCACATGAGTGTTCACACAGGCCAGAAGCCTTTTGCTTGTGAGTTCTGTGGAAAAGAGTTAAGCCGAAAGGAACATTTAAATGGTCACATGAGAGTCCACACAGGACAGAAGCCTTTTGCCTGTGAGATTTGTGGACAAAGATTTAGCCACAAGAAATATTTAAACAGTCACACAAGAGTCCACACAGGACAGAAGCCTTTTACCTGTGAGGTTTGTGGACAAAGTTTTAGCCAGAAGTCAAATTTAAACAGTCACATAAGAGTCCACACTGGACAGAAGTCTTTTGCCTGTCAGTTTTGTGGACAAAGATTTAGCCGAAAGGAACATTTAAACAGTCACACAAGAGTCCACACAGGACAGAAGCCTTAAATTGCCTTTGAACTCTTTGGACAAAAAGGTTTATTTAATAGAAAAGTTATACAGACACTTTTCAGTCTGCACAGGACACAAAGTACTCATTTGATCCCAAAAGAAACCCTTGTAGCTTTTACAGTCTAGACATCACCCCGGCGGTTGTACTTATCTTAGATGAGGGCCGCATCCAGGCCATGATCATTGATGATGAGCTGCAGCCTGAAGCGCTGTCCTTAGGTTTCACATTCAGAGTGTTGTGGCAGAGTGTGTTTAGCACAGGTCAGTCCCACATTTACATTACTTTTTACACATCCCTCACATTGAGATGGTTTCATATTTTGTCCAGAAGTTTATTAATATCATGAAATAAAATATTCTCAATGGATCAAACAGTTTACCCAGTTTTTTTTATACTGATGCTTACCTTATGCAGTACTGGTTCTTTTAAATTTACCTCTCAGAGTGATGGCTTTTTTTCAACTGTTTCAGTCAAAATCAAAATTACAGAAAATCTGTACTATGCAGATATTAGCAGCAGTTACCTGTCCTACTGTGGAGATATTTCAGTGATGATAAAAATCACAATATTCTGTCAAATGACGCTTGTCTGTCAGTACAGAGGGCAGGCTACAAAGGGTACCTTAGACAAAACTTAGGCACCGAGCCTCAAGACTCATGAAGCAGAAAGATCCTGTCTTATTAGAGGGCACAAGCTTTCCAGACAGATTGTCAAGAACAGATCAGGGTTAGGCCTTTTTTGAACAAAGTGCAGAAGAGATACAGAACAGAATCCGTTCAGTTTTGGCACAGAGTAACGTTTAAAATGACAGGTTTTTGTGATGAACATCTCAGGAAAGTTGCCTTCTAGTTCAAGCATTAACAACTGTGTATACTTGCCTGCAGACTTGTCGATTTTCTGCAAAAGTAAAAGGTTTTGAAGTCAAATAGGGGTTTCACGTGAATTGTATGGATCCAAAGTTTTTTTTGTTTTGAGGGGAGAAGGGGCAGGTTTTTCAAAGAAAGGAGGGAAATCCTAGACTTACAAGCCATTTTAGATGGAGAGTGAACACTGAGACCCATCCAATATGGTGTTTATACTGTTACGCTTATCCAGCGTCTACGTGATACTATGTTGCCTAATCTCATGGGTCTACCATATTGGTTGGCATAAGCATGTAAACAGTGAGCCACACGAGTACTAAACAAAAAGTAGAGCCTGAAATTGTTTTTTGCAATATTTAGCCTTCATTTTACTAGTCCGAGCCCATGTTCAGTTATCAGAGAGCGACATTTACAAAAGTTAAGTGTTAACCAACTTACAAATGCTAGCTCAAATTCTCTGCGGCTGTTCGCCAATGTAAACAAGTTGCAGCTTTGCCTAAAATCACCCCGCTAGCTTTAAAACATTATGTTATAAACAGTGTTTCACTTCACACTGAAGCAGATTTTAAAAAATTTCCAGATCCCTACCAGTTTTGGTTGCTGGTGGTGTCACCGGGTTCAGCTGCTGCTCTCACACTTGGATGAGACAAGATCTCTGAATGGCGACACTTGCACTAAATAAATAACATATATTTAACACACATAATCATACAATGGAGCAATAATGTTATAATTATCTCGCATTTCACTACAGTGGACGAATCGCACGTTCTCCGTGGTGAACTATACAGCCATTCAAAACCCATTACATTCGTCCCCGTTTTCCTTATGAAATACAACAAGTTGCCGACATTTCCGGAATTCATCCCGCTGGATTTATTCATTTATAACATCCTGTGGTAAAAAGCTTTTTCCTTTCCACTGGAGCCGATATAAAACAAAAAGTCCAGACCCCAATTAGTTTTTGTTGTTGGTGGGGTCGCTGGATTCAGGTGCTACTCACACGCGAAGATGGGACAAGATATTTCATAACAGCGACGCTCATCATACTAAGTAAATAACATAATTTTAACACACATAATCCTACATTGGAACAATATTATTGCAAAAAAATTATCTCGTATTTCACTACAATGGACGGTAAAGCGCCTCCTCCGTGGTGAAACATCCATCCATCCATTAGGATTAGCAATATAAACACATCACATTTATCCCCGTCTCCGTCTTCCTCATGAAATACACAAACTAAAAAGGTTTCCTCTAGTAGGCACAGGGATTTTTAGTAAGAGAAATTTTTACATAAATTTCTCTTACCTGGCAACCGTTTTGGCTTCTCGTCTGGAGCTTTCTTCATGGGCTGTCATCAGGTGGATTGCTGACGTGGCCTATAACCATAATTCCTGGAGCGAGTTATGTGGAAGCGGCGTGTGGAGACGTCGTGTTCACGGGGGCTCCCAGATGTGCCCGATGGTGTGGTGGTAACAAACACGTTTTTTCTGAATAAAATCTCAAATGTGAATGTTTATCTTACCCAGTAAAAACATGTTCGCTGCAAATCCAAAGATACTTCGAGGGCTGCTAGTCCGTTTGATTGATTTCTGCGGCTTACATCTGTCCTCAGTGTCCATCAAAGTGATTTGGAAAAAAAAAACAAGTCGACTTTGCATCCTTGTCTGTTAGAGCAGCCAACAGTGCAGCAAGCTGTCACCATTTTATTGTGAAATCAACTAAAAAAAAGTGATAAAAGCCTACAAACTGGCTGGTTTTGACTAGTTTCACTGGAATTTCAATGTGTGTTCACACACTGATGGTGATGAGCTACATTGTAACCACAGCTGCCCTGGGGTACAATGACGAAGATGAGTCTGCCGTACACTGGCGCCACCGGTCCCTTTGACCACCACCAGCAGGGTTAAGTGTCTTGCCCAAGGACACAATGACAGCGACAGACTGTGTGGGGCTCAAACCTGCAACCTTCCGATTTCGAGGCGAGCACACAACTCCTGTGCCACAGTCACCCTGAAAAGGAGCGTGTTTGTCATGATTCTGCGAATGACGGTAAACAATGGGAGAAATTTCTTGTTTACAGCATATTGGCGATACTTTACAAGCCACTTACAAGCTAACTGTCAGGTTACGGGTTCGAACCCCGCTCAGTCTGTCACTGTCGTTGTGCCCTTGGGCCAGACAATTAACCCAACTTGCCTGCAGGTGGTGGTCGGAGGGACCGGTGGCGCCTGTGCTCGGCAGCCTCGCCTCTGTCAGTGCGCCCCAGGGCAGCTGTGGCTAGATCGTAGCTCATCACCACCAGTGTGTGAATGTGTGTGTGAATGGGTGAATGACTGATTGTGTTGTAAAGCGCCTTGGGAGGTTCCAGGACTCTAAGGTGCTATATCAAATACAGGCCATTCACCATTTACCAGGTAAACAAATGTAAAGAAGGCAGCAGCAGCAATGGAACAGCAAATTCTACTAATTTTAATGACATAAAACAATTAACAGACTGAATAATGTACAAGTATTGGTTTTCTTTGCAACCGTTACAGGTGAAAGGTGATTCGACGTTGTCGCGACTTCGATTCGAGCATCCGTAGACTGCACAAAAGTCAGGCATGTTGACCCTAAAGCTTCACAATTAGCAAAAGTGTATTTCTGCAAACACAAAGCCAGTAACGTCCTGTTCCAATATATCTCAATCGAAGTTTTGTGTAACAAACCGAGACGCTTGAGAATCATGGGCAATTTAGCATTCATTTATTTAAAATAAAACGAGCGACTCCCACCGAGGTAAATAATAAACGTTGATTTTCTAAGCAGTTCACCCAGCGTAGCCTCGTCATCTCTAAACCAAGTTAGACAGCTCATAATTACAAAAAAATCCCCAAACACACACATTCATACTAAAATTTGGTGGTAACATCGTTATTGGTTTTGTAGAACCATACAAAATATCGATTGTAGTCTCAACCTGAATCACACACAAATAGCCTAGGCGGTACACACGGTTCACAATTTAGTTTCAAAAGCAAAAGTGTTAATTTCAACTTGGGTAAGTATGTCGTCTCAAGCCCATGTGTTCTAAGGTTTGTAATATGGCAAACTGCTTGTAAACCTGATAATATTACATTGAGTTAAGAGTGTTTTTGTTCAAGCTGATCACTCACCTTCCAGCTGCTACCATTGAGAGCGGAGGGGTCTGCTGTCTGAGGTAAGATGGCCGCCGTTTAACTACGCCCTCGACTCCTGCTTTCTCCATCTAGTGTTTATATACAAATCTTCCATGTAGCAGCAAGTATGTGAAGAAAGAGCCTTCTGCCTGCGCCAGCACGAGGTTTAACAGCAAATAGGGCTGGGGGTAAACGATTAATTTTAAAACGATTATTCTGACGATTATTTTATCGAATAGTCGACTATTCTAATGACTATTTAGATGATTAATCTAGCGATTATTTTTCTATTGCACAATTAATAAAAACCAAAAAATCTCAAATAAATTCCTCCAAAAAAATGATAAGTTGTTACTGTAAGAGAATAAACACTACAGGCCTTCCATTTTGTATAACACTGCTTTTGTTGTGTTGCGGTTGGTTATGTTCTGGTGACATATAAAACTTGGGAGTGCAGGCTGCTGCCTGAGAGCTGGTTGGAGATGGAGTGTCTCCATGCTGCTTTGTTTTGGTCACTTATGTGCGTGAGGCGAGTGGTGTTACGACCCTTCCTGGGGAGTTTGGCTCGTGTGCAAAAAGGAAAGGACAATAACGAGATTTAAAAGTTAAAATGATGATCAGGTTTATTTACAAAAAAAAAAAAAAAAAACTAAATCTTTCCATCCACAGGTTGGGAATAATAAAACTGATTCTGCCTGTGGGAAATTAAAACAAAAGTACAAATAACCTGGGATGTCCCACTGGGCAAAGATTACAGGGTTCTGGACCAAAATAAGGATCTCCAAAGGTCCAAATTCTAAACTGGGTGGTTAAACCAAACTTAAGGTGATATTTTAAACTAAACCGAAAACCCACAACACTCTAAATGTAATAAAAGGGAGATCTGCACCACAAAAAAGATTAACTCTAAACCAAAACATAACAGCTTATCCAAACGCAAGAAGCTGTTAGCGAAAATGTTAACAGTAGCTTTACCAACGTTAAGTTCAAGTTACCAAGTTTAAATAAACCAAAAATACCCAGCAGTAAACAGACCAGCATGGAGGAGAGACTGCTACCACAAAAACAGCTCTCCTAATGTCTGACAGAAGCTCCTTAATGAAGGGAGAAACGCTCCCGGTGATTTTCTACATCTGCGATAGAGACGAAGCAGCGCATCTGACCCCAGAAGTTGTTGTCCGTTGCCGGGAGACGAAGACGGCCAAAACAGGAAAGGAACCTAGTAGCGGACGGACGTTGTTCCTGGTCTTCGGTGTTTGGCGGAGATGTTAGTGAAGGCGGAGAAGAGGGCAAACTAGAGGAAAAACAGGCAGATTCCTCCTCTATTTACAAACTCCTGGGGATGCAACAAGTGGGCGTGGTGCGTCGACTTCCGGATCTGACGTCGACAAATTTTTAGAATTGAGCCATCTACGTCATCGATGCGTCGCCACAGCTCTAACAGCAAATATATCACGGATTGTAGAGGCAACTGGCATTAAATGTTGTCAAAATCTCATTTCTTCTTCACTTTAGGAAAAATCTTTTTTCTGAATAAAATCTCAAGTGTGAATTTTCACACAAACAGTTAAAAAAAATGTCTTAAAAGCCCTAAAGATCAATCACGGTAGACTTCTCACCTGTGAAGAGTTTCCTCGTGTCTAGTCCAGTCTATGAATAAAACATTTACCGTAACTTTTACGTGCATGGTTTCTCAACCGTATGGGTCCTCGTGTGTCTGGTCATGCTACATTTCATAGCGAAACCTTTACCACAGCTCTTACATGCAAAGGGCTTTTCCCCTGTGTGAGTTCTGATGTGATCAATCAAGTAAAACCTCCGAGAGAAACATTTACCACAAACTCTACAAGAGAATGGCTTCTGACCTGTGTGGGTTGTCATGTGACAGGTCAGGTGGGTGCTCTGAGAGAAACATTTACCACACGTTTCACACCTAAATGGTCTCTCACCTGTGTGAGTTCTCATGTGACGAGTTAAAACAGACTTGTAACAGAAAGATTTCCCACAGATTTTGCATGATAACAACCCCTCATCTGGGTGAGCCCACTTGTACCTTTTTAGTTTCTGACCGTCTACACCGTCTCTGGGATCTCTGGTTTGTTGACGACTTTTATTTTGTGTCAGTTCTTCATTGCTGTTTGATTCTGAGTTTTCATGCCTGCAACCATCCTGATCTTGGTTCTCAGCTTCAGCAGAACTCTGACACAAGGGTTGGTTCCTGTCTGGTTCTGGTTCACAACAGTCTGTTACTTCAGAAGGAGAAATCACCATGAAGGTAACATTTTCCTGCTTCAGAATGAACTGTCCTTCATGCTGATGGATACGGAGTTCCTGATGTTCCTCTTTGATCAGTGGAGGTTCTGGTTCCTTCTGGTCCAAACTGGAAGTCCTCTCCTGGTTAGAGAGCTGCTGATCAGTCAGAACCTTCTCCTTTACCCGGACATGATGCTGTGGAAGTTCTGGACAAGCTAAAAGACAAAAAAAATGTTGATTAATCTGACAGATCTAAAGATGTTTTGATCCAAGGCAGCTCGTACAATCAGAGCTTGGTGTCCTCCTAAACTCCCCTGCACTCAAGATGAGCGACAACAGTTTTGATACCTTTGCTCTGTCTATACAATCCCTTGTGGGGATGTAATGGGCCATTCCCATCTGTACCGGGTCGGCCCGGGCCGGGTAGCGTAGGTTGTTTACATATCTGGGTGGCCTGGTATTTTTCCGGGCCAACCAAGGCTCATTCTCAGCCCCCTTCTCGAGGGGGTCTGCTTCAGGCCGACCAGGGCCAACACACCCACTGCTGACAGCAAATTCACACCTTCCATTAGAGCAAGCCTCTGATTGGTGGGTAGAATCAGCCCACATGGGCTTAAGACAAGGATGTGTGGAATCTACCGGGCCAGGCTGGGGCCGACTGGGGCTACCCGGCCCGGGCCGACCCGGTACAGATGGGAATGGCCCAATAGACTCTAGAAGACCCAAATGGGATCGAGCTCCAGTGTGGATGGCATGTGGGTAAAATGCCCCCCCCCCCCCCCCCCCCCCTTTACCGTGACAGCTTTGTGAAGTGTTGCCTCAATCGGAGTATCCTGCAGTCTGGTTCAGACAGAACGTACACACTACCAGATCTCGCTGCCTGGCTCCAGGTCAAGTCCCAAGCCAAACGCATCTCAAGCCGGGCTGCAGCTCTACATCATCCCGAGCTTCACAGGCCAAGTAAGAGCACAACGAACCCCATCGCATATCGGCAACGATCCACTCCTGTGCTTCTCATTCTCAGGTTAAATTATGACACGTCTCACCTTTATGTTAATATTGTTTTATTTGATGCACTCCACTTTGAACTGCACCAATCCAGCAACTGCTGCATTTTAATAACTAGTATTAAAGGTGAATACACCAATATTTGCACAAGAATAATTTTTGCTTTAAACTCTCAGTGACACACTTTGCAGGGGGGATTTGGCATTTAATTCTTCTTGGCATCTGGAAAAACATCTCCTTTTGCCCCCCTTTATTTGACTTTCTGCCCCCTTTATTTTGGTCCAAGATCATTACTGGGCTGGCCCTATTAAACACGTTCTACACCCCTGCTTAGTAGACTTCATGAAGTATTTTTAAGCCAGTATAAAAATGACTGAAACACAGATTTACATATTTGGCATTACTGACCAATATCTTTGATTTAATTTATTTGTTAAGAACATCAAGATGCATTACAGTGAACATTATAATAAAGTACATTTTTCTAGTGCAGAGAGGAGATAACCCATAGAAGCACTGATTTGATCTCATTTCAGAGAAAAATAGAACAGGTCAGATGCATCTAATAAATAAAATTACTAACACAAACTCAGGAATCAGTTTCTTTGCTTCATTGTTCTGGTGCTGAAAACATCACTAATGTGGATCAAAGGAGATACACAGATGAATGCACCTCTTATTTATTATTTGGAAATTAGTGGGTGTGGTTTACATCATTACATTATTTTAAATCTGAAATTGATATGGATTGATCAGAAGTTGCTATGTGTATTGTTTATTTGAAAACTATTTATAGAGCAGCCTCAGAATTGAGATTAAATGTTTTATCAAAATAGTAAAGGAACTATTACAGAACAAGTTTTTCAGTAAAATCAGAACATTAATATTTAAGTGCATGAATTAATACATCTGGACTCTTGCAGTAGGAACTAGGAAATATGAAATACTAGAACCATTTTATTTTCATTTGATTAAACTGATTTTTTCCCCACACACAGTTAAACAAATTAATGTTGATTAAGGTGTGTGTGTGAGAGAGATAGAGAGGGAGAGTTAAAATAATTTAAAAAAAAAAACCCGACCGGAGCGGAGGCAGTGACCGACGCAGGATGAGCCGTTTTCAGCTCTGTCTTATCAAATGCACGTACGTTACCAAAAAAGTAACTTTAAATATTGAACTGAAAAAGAGGCGAGCTTAAGAAAACCTAGGGAGTCCTGTAGATACGTGAGCAACAGTGAAGTAAGCACAGAGAGATCCGTTACTGTCTGTGTGTGTGTGTGGATGCCTGGGTCGAGCTGACTGAGCTCCTGGCCGCAGATTTTGTGTGTAGGGAGGGCCGGGCGCTACCTCCGTGATGTGCCTAACGATTAAATGTCAGCGCATCTGCAGGCTTGAGGTTTCTCCGTCAAAATTAGTGATCAAATACAGGAAATATCCGGTCAGAGTGAACCCTGCCATTTAACGGTTTTGCCTTCTTGTGAAGATTGTTGCAAACAGGAACATTAAACTAGATTAACACCAGAGCCATGCGCACTGCACCGTTATCTCCGTCAGTGTTGAGGGAAAAAACGAATTGATCGGGTCCTTTTCAACATTGTTTCATGTAAAGCTTTGTTCAGTACAAAGTTTCATTACAACAGACAAGACGGAGCCTGGATTTGTGTTCTGAACAGTTTAAACATGTTTTAAAAGGAGACGTGAGCGACGGGTCAAAATGTGTCACCTGCTCAACATTAAAACCACTAACGGTGAAAAATATCAAACTATTGTAGAATCAGACAGGCTCCAACTTTTGGACCAATTTTATACAAATGGTTTTATTAATTTTCTGTTGAAAGATAACTCTGAGATACATGAGCGACCCTCACCTGTTGTGATCGGTTAAAGCAGCTCTCGGCTGGGCTCGACACACGGGAGGCGACATCGCCTCTCCTCCATTCATTTTCAATGAGACATGCGCAACAAAGTGATAATCACGGGCCCTAAAGCCTGGTTTATGCTTCTCCGTCAGCTCCGCAAGGGACAGACACGCACGGATTGACGGAAGCGTTTTGCTCTCATACTTCTCCGTCTCCTGGAGAGTGTTGCAAAGCAATTGCCCGGCAGGACAACAGAGGGCGGAGAGCTGTTCTGTGGTATCCTGTCATGTATCGGTCCAAGATCGTTTGTTTATATTGTGTTTTTTGTGTATATAAGAGACTTTTAACACGGACATATTTGTCTCTCATTCTCCCACCGCTTCATGCGCTCCCCACCTCTAAACCCACGTTTCCTGTCATTTCCGTCCACAAATAAAACGCTTGCTGCACATCTTTTCACTCCTCCAATCACGGGAGAATTAAACGTTCACATTTTTAGAGTTTTTTCGTGAGGTATTCGTCAAGCTTCTCCGTGTCTGCCGCTAGTTATCCTCGGCTCTCTTTATGTTTTTGAGGGTGCAATGGCGGCGCTGTAAACAACAGCGGCGTCCTGACCAATCACAAGCTTGCGTAATCCGTCTCGTTCGACGGATGTTTGAAAAAGTGGGCTCGACTCCGTACGTACTTGCGTGCCTGCCGGAGCCCTACGCAAGGACGGATAATGGCGTTGCGTGTCTCCGCATTGACGCAGACGGAGAAGCATAAATCAGGCTTAAGCCGGGCGTACACTGTGCGAGTTTTTCACTTTTATGAGCCGATTTTCCACTCGTGCGAGAATCGGCACGAGGGACGAGCAAAATATCAAACACGCCAGAAGTTTGTGCGAGCTCACGATTGCTGATCGGTAGCTGGTCACGTGGTGTTAATCGCCTCTCGTAACCCCCTGTACACTACACGACGCTTGGCGCAAAACTCGCCCCGATCTCGTGGATTCTCGCACAAGTTGAAAATCGGTTTAAAAAAAGAGAAAAAGTCACACAGTGTACGCCCGGCTTTAATGGGCTCTACACACGGGAGGCGACAAACGACCACAATCAGCGAAATTCGTCGCTGTCGCTTTTATTACCTGACACACGGGAGGCGATCCGCGGCAAAGCCGTCTACGCGTTCTGTTCCATGGCGAAATCGAAACTTCCGTTGTTTTGTTTGACTGTGTCAGGTTGGAGGGAATTAAGGTTATTTAAGCAGTTCAGAGTTAATAAAGCGGTAGATACGATGTTTCACAAGGTGCTGCTAGAGTTATGTGAAACCTTACTTGTGATTTTACTATATAAAACATAATAAAAATCAACTTCTCCTCCATGTTGCTCGGAGATGTACGGAGCATTCTGCCCGCTCATTGGTCAGTGAATGAAACCTCCATTGATTGGTCCTCGTCCGAGCGACAGCGATGAAAAGTTGAATATTTCAACTTTCTGGGATCGCGTCGCTGGGTCGCCTGTGCATGGCACGTGCACGAGCGCAAAATTTCACACGCACGTTTTCCGCGTTTCGCTTGGTAGAAGGGAGACCCGCGATTATCGCTTTGTCACGTATATCTCATTGAAAATGAATGGAGGAGAGGCGATGTCGCCTCCCGTGTGTCGAGCCCATTAGGGTGGGCCAAGGACCGGTAGGCCCCACCCACAACGCCGCAGCTGCTGTGGCTCCCAGTGTTTTCTTTACTGTGGGAAACGGGTAATAATGGCTCTTTGATGGGAAAAGGTTGCCGACCCCTGAATGAAGGTGATGTTTTTGTTCATAGATTTAAAAATTCACATTGAAGTTCAGATTATTTCATCAAGTAAAACGTGTGGTTAGCTGGCTCATTTAAAACATTTAAAGTTTTTGTATCGTGCCGCTTGAATGAATCGGAAACGAGAATCGGTAGGAACCTGAAATCCAAAAGAAGGAATTAAGAGTTGTTCAAATTTAAACAATGCCCAAGCCTAGTGAACAGGTTTATGAGCGGCGTTCTCTCGCAGTTCAAGAGCTGCAGATCTCTACGGAGCTAAAGCATCCTGAAAACCACAGATTTATAAAAAGACCCGCAAGTTCTGCCACAGCCAGTAGCAGTTGGTGCAGCGTCTACTCTTCAGTATCTATGCTGTTGGGGAAGAACCTCTGTCATGAACAAATTTACAATCATTTGAATAAATGGAAATGTTCTTTTTTAAATTACACTGACAAACATGTTTGTGTATATCTCTTGTTATTGCGTTTTATTAAATGCAATAAGGGTGTTTAGGCCATTATAAGAACTAACAGAATTTTTATGGTGGTGCTACAATACCTTACAATACAATACAATACCTGGCAAGCCAGAATAAATAAATGTGTTATTTATAAGTCTGGCCACGCTCCATTGACGGCTCTCGGTTGTGGGGCGGGTTCTACCGTTGTCTTTCAAATGATCTCCGCATTCCACTGGACAATGAATGGGACATACTCTTGTTTCACTCTGTTGCATCATCCCACCCACCAGGCATATAGAGTGCCCTGATTGGCCCACAAAGCGGATAAAGCTCTGTGATTTGGTCACTAAGCAGATAAAGCACTATGATTGGCCCACCATTATGGACCAATCACAGCTCTTTATGTGTTTGAAACCCCTCTAGAGAGCTGTGATTGGCTAGCCAGAGTCCTGGTAGGAGCTGCTGAGGTTCCAATGGAGCATGCCTAGACCATTCTTTGCAAAGCAAGGATTTGGTCTAGTTCACTAGGCTAATAATACCTACAACCTTTGTAGAACAAGTGCTATGAGCTAAACATGTTAACACACAGCCCTAAATTAGTGCTAATCTTGGTTTAAATTAAACCCTTTTGGTGCAATCCAGCCTTAAACTGACAAATGATCACACACAGTTCTACAATCAGAGATGAGAACAGCAGGTGTGTGTCTCACTGACCCACAGCAGAACTGGACTGAAATGTTATTGGTTTATTTCTCTAAAGTGGAACAAAGTTTACCGACTGACCAGCTCAGCTGTGTCAAAAAGCTTCAGCGCAGCAAACGGACCCAAGCAGACTGTCCTGAGATTGTGTCCTCAGTAGAACCACACGAGTCCCGCTGCTGTTTCATACCTATTCTGTGTAAGTTGATCTGTGGTTTCCAGCTGATCTCCAGCAGTCTGCGCTGACGATCGATCTCTTCCTCGTAGCGGACGATGGTTTGTTCAAACTCGGAGAATATTTCTGCAGCAGCAGCAGTTAGCCGCTCTCTGATAAACTCTCTCAGAGACTGAGATGAAGACATTGTTGCTGCAGAGCCTCAGAGGTTCACCTCACAACAAACGAACTATTCTTCTTCTGGTAGTCTTCTGACGGTTGGTGACTAGTGTAAAGATGCATTACCGCCACCTACTGGACTGGAGTCTAAAACAATAAAGCCTGTTATTCCATAGGCCAGTGTGTTCAGCATTTGATTAAAATACAATTCATAACTTGTGATACCTTTCCCAGGAAGATCATTTTGTTTTTAAGCTGTTTGTTTAAAAGTCAAAAAGACTTATTTTTCCTTTATGACATTCCATTGCAGTATCTAACGGTGATCATATTTCTTTTTTTTATTGACTTATTGGCTTTTAACCTAATTGAAAATGGTTTCTAGCGACCAAACTAAATCTTTATGTAACACTTTTGGGAGAAATTCTTTTGTTAGTTTTGCTTTTCATTTTTGTTTCATTTATGTTTTAACCTCTCTTTTTAATGACTGTATGTCTTCTTACAATATGCTCTAGCGCCTTGGGGTTGTTGAAGGCACTATATGTAAATAAAGCTTTGATTGGTTGATTGATTGATTGATTCAGTCAGAGGAAAAAGAAGAAGAAGCTATATTTTGTATAGTGCCTCTCAAGGTAAAAATCACAAAGCACTTCAAAAGAACAAAAAATAATAATTTTTGGAAATAATAAAAATGAGATGAATACAAAATTGTGAAAAAAAAATGTGAGGAAAGGGAAAATGAATAAATAAGGTTATCAGTAGATCCCAGGAAAAGTGGAATTGGTAGAAAGAGCTGACTGATGAGAGGGTGATGATGAAGGCCACTCCAATGCCAGCCGGAACAGGTGAGATTTCAGCTGCCTTTTAAAGGAGACCACGGAGTCTACTGATCTCAGGCTCAGGGGGAGAGAGGTCGAGGGTCAATCAACCCTGAGAAGACAAAAGAAACATTTGTATTTGGTGGCTATTGGCAATAGTTTAATGTAATAACAGGGGTGGACCTTTAAAGCGCCCGAGCGCCAATGACGCTAAATTTTCTCATCGGGCGGTAAATACTTGACGACTTACCACCCAGGTGGCGCCCAAGCCTTGTTTGTCATTTACACACCGGTTTTCACCTACATCATGGCCGCGCCCTGTAGGAAGCCGCCGTCTTCGTTTCGCGAGCGTGAACCTGCGCGCCTCTAGCCACGTACTGCACTTGTACGATTCGTGCACGTACTGCACGATTCTAGTTCTAGTCACGTGAACTATAAGTTCACTATTAAAGACTAAGTGAGACCACGCTAGAAACACACAAGCACGCAGGAAGATGGCGCCACCACTGGGATGGGATTTCTTGATGAAATCTCTGGCAAAATGCTTTAAAACTGGTGAGAAGCGAGACAGTTCGAAACGGTATGAAGCAGAGAAGCGTGTGCGTAGGTGCAATGATTCTTGGCGGTTTAAAGAAGACGGGAGGCGCAGAGAATGGCCGTGTTCGAGTTGAGCAGCACCTCGCCTGGAAAACAGACGAGAGCAGACGGAAGCAGCAGGGGGAGTGGCTGAAAGTCGGCGTTTAAGTCGGACAGATTTCCCTACACGTGTAGCTCGGGGGGTGACGATGGCTGAAGATATCGCGTTAGCGTTCACACTTGTTCAGTTTTAATTCTGGTACCTGTTAGCAGCTGAAACACATCCTCACGTGCTTGTGGATATCATATAATGTATATGAAGACATGACTGTAATAATAAGTAAAGGTTAGCAGCTGTAGCTTTAGTGTGCTCATAGGAAACGTGACAAAAGAAAACAAAACACATTTCTCTTTATGGCCTATAGAGTTATCATCATCAACGTTACATGATTTACAGAATACATGTGACCAACTAACATTTCATGTTTTACCACCGGATGTTTGGATCAAAATATGAACCAATCAGATCTTCGATCTGGTGAGAGCCAGGCGTTTCCCGTCATCCCCTAGGTTTTGCAGCTGGTGGAGAGCAACTGCAGCGTCTTGCTCCAAAATCTGCGGCCGCCTTGATCTCACGAGGATATCGTTGCCTACGTATGCATGACGTCAGAGAAAGTCGAACACAAATCTAACCGGCATGCACTGCTCGCCGATCACCGCTGGTCTAATCTGCGCTGAACTGGCTTATCTTGAACACAGCCAATGGCTCGAGTACAGCAAAGCGGAGGTGATGTACTGCGTTGTATGCCGGAAGTACGCAATGACAAAATCGAGTTTTGTTGAGGTAACAAACAAATTCAAGCTTGAATACGTTATTATGTTTGTGAATGTGTACAAAATAAAGGTTTATTACATTTAAAATGGTTCAGTTGTTATTTTGACTCTTTTTGGCAGCTGACCAGCGGGGCTGGTAGATTCTTGGCGGGGCCGGTAAATATTCAGTTACCGGCCCGGCTGGTTTTGAAGTTAATGTCCACCCCTGTAATAATTGGTGAGACCATCAGGGGGTGATGCTCTTGTTTGCTCCACTTACTGAGTCCTGATAAGAAGCCTGAAGCTTGGTTTTTCCTTGACGCATATATTCCGCTCGGAAATGGAACGCGCATCAGAACTTGCAGCATTTATGGTTCCTTCCTACCTGCTCGTCTCCGCTGTGAGCCAATCTTCTCCCAGACTGTGGGGCGCAGCAAGGGGCTCTACCGCATGCATCCAACACGACACCATCCCTACCCTAACCCTAGCCCCCATAGTAGACTCTGGCTTAGCATATAACAGGTGAATTAATGAGGAGGTGGAGGGATACTCGTTTTGATTTAGTGGGAGGCCCTGATAAGAAGAACTGAGCCCAGATTGTGACAGGAGGGGGAGTCAGGAGCACATCTGAGACAGTGGGTGGGGCTTACCGGGTTGTTAAAGAGTCTTTGTTAGATTAGGTGCAGGACAGAAACGTGACAGGAACTAAAATGATCTAACATGTTTATCTTTTCCATAATGTGACTTCTGAGAAATAATTTCAGGCTGTTGACCAGCAGACCAGGTGTGTCAGAACCAAGGGCGTGAGTTTGTTTTCAGAGTTGCTGGGGACAATAACCATACACTTGAGTGGGGTTTAAAAATTGCTGGGGACAATAAAGTAGGCTAGCACAGGGGTCGGCACCTCGCGGCTCTGGAGCCGCATGCGGCTCTTCCATCCATCTGATGCAGCTCTCTGCATGTAAAATAATGAATGGATATTTAAATAAAATGCTTTATATTTTACTGCATTAATTTTACATCTGTATGCCAATTCTAAATGTAAAGATTGTCTGCATAAACCTGAACAGGTCCAACCCGGTCTTACTGTGAGACCGGGTTGGCGCGTCACGCTTGTGCGTAATCATAGGCGCTTTATTAGCTGAAGACGATGTGAGATTCTGGGATTCTCCTCAGACGGCTCCTGGATGTGTCGCCACATTGGAGACAGGAACAAGCACTATTCAGCCAAAGTTTCATCATCAGGGAACATTTTCTAAGTGACAAGTCTCTCTGAGAGACAGGGTTTGGAAAACACTCGCTTCAGTGGGAGGAACCTTCCACATGCGCTCTGGTTCTCTGCGTGGCTCTGGGGTTAATCAAGTTTAATTGTTTCTCGTTGCAACAATCTTCACAGGAAGGCAAAACAGTTAAACGGCAGGTTACAGATATTTCCATTTGACTGTTTATTTTGACAGATGAACTCAAGGATGTTGCTTGGTTTGAAAGAATTACCTCGACGCACACTGATGCGCATGGATGAGCTGACAATTTAATCGTTAACGCACATCGCGGAGGTAAAATATTCCCATCAGAACATCAGAGCTTTATACTGGTTAAGCGTGGCTCGGAGCGCCCACGGTGGACAGTGAGCTGAAGATCTGGGGTTCGCAGCGCAGTGCAGAACGGCGCATGCGATAAGATTTCCTCCCACTGAAACAGTCTGGAAACCCGGTCTCTCTGAGGGATGTGTCACTTGGAAAAATGTTCTTTTTATGAAATTATGAAACTTTGGCTGAATAGCGCTTGTTCCCGTCTCTAATATGGAGACGCATGACGCATCCAGTCTGAGGCAGAATAGCAGCTCAGAAAGCACCTGTAGAGACATTTGATCACGCACAAAGTTTATGTGGAGCAGAAGAGGTCGGGCCACGGCAGGTGAAACGTTCCTAGCCTACATGAAGTGAAACTGTTTAATTGTAACATTAATATGTTACTGGACATGCTGGTCTGGTTGGTTAGACCAGTGTTTGAAGTGGAAAACACACACACACACACACACACACACACACACACACACACACACACACACACACACACACACACACACACACACCAATTAAAATAATGCTGATAGCGTGGACTAGAAGACAGGTGATGGTTTACGTATTTAAATGATGATCAGACTGCTGTAAAATGTAATCTCCATCCACATCCAGACACAATTATCCTCTATTCTTTCTCTATTTGCTCTGCTCTTGTCTGGGCTGATCAGCTGATGGTGCGCGCGGCGCGCCTAACTAGCGGCTGATGCACATTTTACGCATTTGGAGAGGTGGGCTGGATGCTTTGCGTTTACTGGAAGATGGTCCACTTAACGCACAGTTGTAGACTACATATTAATGACAAATGAATGAAAATTAAATTGTGAGTTTTTACTTCATATTTTTGAAATAAAAAGGACGGGGGAACACATTTATGAAGTCTTTTTAAATGAAATTTTCTAGCGCGACCTGCCTGCTTCACTTAAGTCACTGCTTATTAAGGTCCGTCCAGAATTACTGTGGGAAATGGGTAATAATGGCTCTTTGATGGGAACAGGTTGCCGACCCCTGGTATAAGATCTGAGCTGGTAAAACAAAAATCCTCATCAGCAGGCGTTTTTGAAAGTGGGGGGGACACAGCTGCCAATCACAAATTTTGCCGGGGACATGTCCCCGGCGTCCCCGGTTAAAATGACGCCTATGGTCAGAACAGCAAAGCCTGAGTCTGCAGGTGGGAGTGGCTTCCCTGTGGAACTGAGACTCTTGTCTGTTTGTAACCCTGATGTCTTTTCAACTTTCTGTTCTACATCTCTGGTCCTGCAGGTCAATCCAGACCCACCTGCACTAGACCTCTATTTTACAAGAACATTAGTCCAGCTTTGCCACCATTTAAGGTCCTTTGTGCTGGTGGATCTGAGTGTAAATGAAGCAAACAGCAAAGCCAGACGTGGTTCTGGTCCATAATCTCCTGTAGAGTCTCTGTTCCTGTTGGCTGATCCTGGAACAGCTGAAACCAGTGAGTTGATGTTCTCATTGGCTCTCACCATCTTTCTAGCATCTGAACAAGGAGCTACAAATTACTTTCATGTCTCTGGTAAACACCTCATCACTCCCTTATTCATCATAGACCTCCAGAATAAAAGCTCTGGAGCTTTTGTCTCATCACTTGGATTTTCAAAGCTAAAGTTAGCAGCTGCAGCCTGATTTCTTCTGTGTGATCCTGACATGAATATAAATGCAGAAATTACAGCTTTATGTTGGTTCAAGTCATACATTGCATTATCATAGCCGGAATTGAGAATGGTGATTTTCACTACCTAAGGGTCTTTTACTGGCACATTTAAATATTCGTAGTCTTAGAAATAAACTAATTGATATTGCAAATATTTTATCAGAAGGTAATTTCCATATACTAGGAATTTCTGAGACTCACCCAGGGGTCTACATGTTTGCTATCACAAACGGCAGTTTGTGCAGCACAAGAATTGGGAGAGCCAGGAGCTACAGCAGGCAAAGTAGGGACCATGATGATGCTACGTTAGCCCCGGTTAGCACCTGCAGGTAAGTTGTGCTAAATGAACTCCGCTAAAATATAGGCTCTTGTTTGTGTTCACGACAAGTAAATGTTAAAAATAGTCAGCTTAGAGCAGCCAATCATTCAAAAATGAAATCAGAGCGATTCCACAATAACAGCCGATTGTTCAAACAATATAATTTTCATGTTTATTAGACTCAATAAGATACATGTGGATGTTTTTTTAGAACATGATATATTATTTCAAATGGATTTTTTAAATTGTATTATCAGATTAAGATGATCATGTTGCATTGTAATATCACTGTAATTTATTTATTTTTAGTGGGTGGCAGCGATGTACGTTTTCACTTTAGAAGTGTGGGTGGGTGGGGGTGGGGGGGGTATCTTTACAGTATGTTCTAATGGGAAACAGGCTTCAACACAGAAGGTTGTTTTCTGCTTGGTCCTAGAGCTCAACCAGTGTCAATTTAATATAAAGTAATATTGTTTTTGGATGGTAAAAAGTGCAAAGCTTGACTTTGGAAAAAGTGGAGGGGGCATGTCCCCCCTGCCCCCCCAAAATTACGTCCATGGTGGCAGCTCAACAATGCAGTATCATATTGCTGTGTCTTCTGTGGTCTTCGGTGTCTATTTTGAATATTACGTTGGGCAAATGTAAAAGGCTTGTACTGTAGATGTGATGTATGCTGACTGAAATATGAACTAGTTAGAAACAGTAGGCGCAGGTGACGCACTTCCTGTTTTTGTGAAAAAGGTCAGTTAGTGTCATGATTATATTAGAAACCAAACTTTTAGTTTCAGTTGAAGGACATGTTGGGATCTTTAATATCGTCCTTAGCAGGAATTAGTCCTCGTTTCAATAATAAAAAATGTGGTTAAACTGGTTAATCAGTAACATATTCTTTAATAAACTTCCTGACAAACATTTTTTCCTTTTTGTTTGATTACACAAATATTTAACAGCAGGGTACATTTGCCATGCTAATATCTCTGACAACACAGTCTAAAAGAACAACAGCTTATTAATCCTTCTGGGATTAATAAAGTATCTTTGATTTGATTGATTAAGCCCAATTTGTACTTCTCCGTGTGTGTCGGTGCGGAGACACGCAGAGCCATTACATCGGTGCAAGAGCTCTCCGACAGGCTAGAGAGTGTGACGGACACATGCCCCGATTTGTAACTATCCGTCGAAAGAGATGGAAACTGCAAGCTTGTGATTGGTCAGGATGCCGCTTCCTGTAAATTCCTCAACAGCACCACTTCAAAAAGGTAAAAAAATATTTATCGGCAGACATGTTACAGATTGAAGAATGCCTCACAGAAAAAGTCTGAAAATATGAACATTTATTCACCCGTGACGGAGTACAAAGATATGCAGAAAGCATTTTATTTGTAGATGGAAAAGACGAGAAACGTGTATTTTGAGGTGCCGATCGCATGAAGTGGTGTATGTGGGACAAAAGTCTCTGAAATACATTAAAACAATGCAAACACAATATTAAGTACACTATCGTGGACCGGATACCTGACTGTAATGGTACCTCAGAAGAGTGCTACGCCCTCTGTTGTATTGGCGGGGAATTGTTTTGCAAAAATCCCGAGCTACCTGACAGAGAAGTCTGAGAGCAAAACGTCTGTCTCTCCCTCGGGAGCTGACGGTGTATAAACTGGGCTTTCAACAAGAGCTTACCATTGTGTAGTGATGAGCGGCATTTATGTTCTTGTACGCCTGCAGGGATTTCGTGGAATATTTACAACTTGACAGTAGGAGTAGGAGAAAGAAAAAAAATCATATCACGATTTTGTTTTTGCAAAATCACAATCATGATTTTATCATGATTTTTTTCTCTTTCGACAATTCAGACATTTTGAAAGTTATTTACCAGTAAAATACCTAAAGTTAAAAGCACACCCCTTCACAGAAAAAAAGGATAAAATATTTCAAAATCCTAAAAATAAAAAAACCTTTAATTTCCAATGTCTATCTTTTAGGGCTGGGAAATAAATAAAAAATGTATCGTTATCGACATTTCTGACTCTTATGATCATTTCACCCATGTCAATACTTTTGATAATACAAAAATGAAAAGATGTATGTAGGTCGGCAGCGTTCATGTCCCTTTAAGAAGCTGTATCACCCTGAATCACGTAAAAAATGTGACTCAGCGTAATACATGTGACAGCCCCAATCTAATGGACAACTTTTTATTTCTGCACATACCTGTAGTTATCGTCCATTTATCGTTATAGACTTGAAATCCTCAATATTTCTTGATATTGATTTTAGGCAATATTGCCCAGCCTTACTATCTATCTATCTATCTATCTATCTATCTATACTACAATTGAGAGCTAAAGATTCATGTCTGAAATTTCTCACCAGCACTTTGGTTTATTATATATTTAGAATTGATGTAAAATAATTTGAATTCTATCTAGAGGTGGCTCACATCCCTTCATCCACAACATTAATAGCAATTATTTCTGTCCAGAGAAAAAAATTATCATGTTAAGCTAAACTCATGATGCATCCTTATCTCATGCATGCTCTACTCAGGATTTCACTCCCAGTATTTGGTCCTCATTGCTCTCCGTAGCGGTTTCCTGACAATGTGGGGGCAGGATTTGACCCGTCTTTCTACGCAGACGGCATAGACAAAACTCTGGTTGGCAGCCACAGTAAAAAGGCTTGCTAAAACACAAAAGAACGCCCTAAAATAATGAAAGCCACGAAGCACAATGCAAAGTTTAGAGCAGAACATTGACCCAAAGGTTCCTTGATCGTAGACACGTGAGAATAAGTGTAATGACCGCTTAGAGAAGCGGCTAATGCTAGTGACGAAAATTCATAATCGTTTATGTCCGCATCTTAATGCATCGATTAGATTATTTTCCTAGAAGACTTGCAAATGGCATGACTTGGCAAAAGGGAAAGAAAGTGTGCCAGTAGATGTGTCCTGAAATAATAGCACAGATGGGTGATAGAATGCAAATAGACAATTCAACGATCTCTAAGCTTTGGTAGACCGTCATCACATTATATAATCTTTAACGATATTATATAGTCAGATCGCATGGCCCTAGGTTGAGGGTCACAATATTTGGCTCGCAAGCCAGAATGAAGTGGCCCGTGGGCCAGATAAGGCTCTAACCTAGGGTGAAAGAAGTCCATCAGGGGTAAAAGACTGACATCTACAATGTAAAAGCACAAATGTCACGTTTGGATCTTTTTTGTAGTTACATCAGTTCTTTCTGTCCTGTATGGATACTTATGTGTCTGTTTAAACTTGATTTATGACGAAATGTTTGTCCACAAAACTCACAAGCATTCTTCTGTCCTGTGTGGACTCTCATGTGCTCATTTAAACTCGACTTATGACCATATCTTTTTCCACAGATCTCACAGGAATAAGGCTTCTGTCCTGTGTGGACTATCATGTGATTCTTCAAAACTGTCTTTTGTGTAAATCTTTTTCCACAGACCTGACAAACATAAGGCTTCTCTCCTGTGTGGACCTTCATGTGTCTGATTAAATTTGCCTTTTGTCTAAATGTTTGTCCACAGACCTCACAAGCATTAGGTTTCTGTCCAGTGTGGACATTTATGTGATCATTTAAACTTGACTTGTGACCAAAACTTTTTCCACAGAATTCACAGGCATAAGGCTTCTGTTCTGTGTGGACTACCATGTGAACTTTTAAATTTGCCTTATGACCAAATTTTTTTCCACAGAGCTCACAGGCAAAAGGCTTCTGTCCTGTGTGCACTGTCATGTGACTGTTTAAATTAGTTTTTTGACTAAATCTTTGTCCACAGAGCTCACAGGAAAAGAGCTTTTGTCTTGTGTGGACTCTCTTGTGTGTGTTTAAATTTGATGTATGACTAAATCTTTTTCCACAGAACTCACAGGAAAAAGGCTTCTGTCCTGTGTGGACTCTCATGTGACAGCTTAAATGATCCTTTTGTATGAATCTTTTTCCACAGAATTCACAGGAAAAAGGCTTCTGTCCTGTGTGGACACTCATGTGTCTGTTTAAATGTACCTTTTGTATAAATCTTTTTTCACAGAGCTCACAGGCAAAAGGCTTCTGTCCTGTGTGGACTTTCAAGTGTCTGTTTAAACTTGTTCTTTGGCTAAATTTTTTTCCACAGTTGTCACAACTAAATGATTTTAGTTCTGTCTGGACTTTCTCGCATGAATCAACATATTGCTTCACTCCAACACTTTTCTTACTCAAAAAGCCTGAAGACCCCATTGCTGAATGACTTGTCACTCTCACATGCTTCTGGAGAGATCGCTTGTGGAGAAATTGCTCACCACACTCAGAGCAGCTAAAGGATTTGTCGACAGTCTTAATATCTGACACAGAAGACCTGGTCTCATTCCAGCCCATGTCTCCACCACCAGTTGTAAGCCCAGAGTCTGACAGCTCAGAGTCTAGACTCAAACCCACATCCTCTTCATCTCCACTAACTTCAGTCTCTGAAGAATCAGATGTCTGTTCATGAGGGCTCAGATCTGGATCCCTGCTAGTTTCTGCTCTTCCGCCAGCTTCTGCTGTCATCTGGTCAGCCGAGCTGCTGGTTGCAACATCTCTGTCTTCTAGTTGCTGCTGATGAAGCTGTGAGAACAGATTATTCTCATCATCCTCACTCTTTATAGAAACAGCTGTGAATGAAAACCTGGCAACATCAGTCTCCTCCTTCAAATTGAGCTGTCCTCCCTCCAGACTGGTCCAGAGTTCCTCCTCTTCCTCCTTTATATGGAGGTGTTCTGGGTCCTGCTGGTCCACAGCAGCACTCCATTCTTCAGGAGCTTCTTCTTTAACCAGCACCAGTTGAACATCTGCAGGAAATATATGAGTTACTAACTGCTGTAACTGTATGTAGCAGGATTAAATAAGCCTGCTCCAAATTATGTGGGTTGGCGCATACCGGCTTCCATACTCACGAGGGCGCTGTGAGTATAAAAGAGCTCTGCTCACTGTTGGAGCATGCTAAGGAAACTGCTGCACTCTGGCATTAGCTGCTGTCCTCAAACTGTGCCTCAGTAGGCGATCGGCTCTGCTTTGGTGGTATGTACCCTACTAGCTCTAAAGAGAACCATACTCAAACTGTGTTGTGCACTTAACCGCTTGGGCATTTGTTTTTGTGCTGGGCGTGATGCTACCGCTCATCCCAGAGTGAACTGAGCATTGGAAAAAAAAAGAAGGGGATGTAGCTCCTGCAGGGGACAGCATGTGAGCTGAATTAATCCAACTCAAGCTCTCTGTGTTAAAACTAGGACAGGTGTTGAATACCTGTGTGCTGCCGGGCGAGGAAGCTTCCTTGCGGCCCGGATGATACTCGCTGGTGGACTGGTAGGTGTGGGTCTCACCTTCTCCAGACTTGGTCAAAAGCATAATTTGTTAACTTGTACTTTTTTCCTTGTTTTATTTTAGATTACACTCATATTCATTCGTTTTTAGTTTCTCCCCATCCTGTGGTCTCTGCACGGACCTCTGTACATCGGTGGAGACTCCCCACACTCAGCATGGGAGTCCAGCGGGGAAAGCAACCGTGTTTTATCCAAATAGTTTTAGTGATTGTTTGTAACTCCCCTTTTCTTTTGTGCAGGCTGGGACAGGAGGTGGTAAAGGTGGCCTCGGTGGTGGCGGTCCCGTTTTGTGCGTGTGCTGGGTTCCCTCACATTGGCGTGAATGTTCACTATTGCCTGGGGTGACTTTATTATATTTTCTTGTGCTCGTTTCTTTTTGGGATTTATCACCCCGTGTGTCCATTCCCTCCTCCAGTAAGTCTCAGCCCTGCAAGTTTTATTCCCTGTTTGTCTTGTTGCCCTTTTTAAAAAGAAATGTATTAAACTTATATATTTTTTAAAACTTATATTTCTAAAATAAAGTCAACTGTAAATTTTGGAACCACGCCTCATGCCTCATTTAGTGGAATGAACCTATGTGCTTTCTGATACTTACGTCCTTGGGGGAAATTCCCAAGGTGGCGTTAACTGTTGGCTGCTCCCCGGACAAAGTAAAAGGTTGCAGTGTGTTTGGAGCACTCCATATCTATAGCTCCCTTTTGCATTGCCACATGTATATTCCAACATTCAATTTTTTTAATTATTTCTTTAAGTTGTTGATATCTGAACTGACTTTGGCTACAGTCAATATAAAAATATTTAAAGAGTTACTATGCAACCTTCTCATATTTTTAAAGGTGTGGGACACTGAAAACCAAACGATTATACGACAATTATATCTGATTATAATTGGTCATTCTGAGTTTTTCATGCAGGCTTAACATGAAAACAGTCTCCTACACCTACAGTGGTGTGAGAAACTATTGGCCCCCGTCCTGATTTCTTATTCTTTTGCATGTTTGTCACACAAAATGTTTCTGATCATCAAACACTTTTAACCATTAGTCAAAGATAACACAAGTAAACACAAAATGTAGTTTTGATATGATGGTTTTTATTATTTAGGGAGAGAACAAAATCCAAACCTACATTACCCTGTGTGATAAAGTAATTGCTCCCCTTGTTAAAAAAATAACCCAACTGTGGTGTTTCACACCTGAGTTCAACTTCTGTAGCCACCCCCAAGCCCGATTACTGCCACACCTGTTTCAATCAAGAAATCACTTAAATATGAGCTGCTCGACACAGAAAAGTAGACCAAAAGCACCTCAAAAGCTAGACATCATGCCAAGATCCAAAGAAATTCAAGAACAAATGAGAACAAAAGTAATTGAGATCTATCAGTCTGGTAAAGGTTATAAAGCCATTTCTAAAGCTTTGGGACTCCAGCGAACCACAGTGAGAGCCATTATCCACAAATGGCAACAACATGGAACAGTGGTGAACCTTCCCAGGAGTGGGCGGCCGACCAAAATTACCCCAAGAGCGCAGAGACAACTCATCCGAGAGGTCACTAAAGACCCCAGGACAACTTCTAAAGAACTGCAGGCCTCACTTGCCTCCATTAAGGTCAGTGTTCACGACTCCACCATAAGAAAGAGACGGGGCAAAAATGGCCTGCATGGCAGATTTCCAAGACGCAAACCACTGTTAAGCAAAAAGAACATTAGGGCTCGTCTCAGTTTTGCTAAGAAACACCTCGATGATTGCCAAGACTTTTGGGGAAATAACTTGTGGACTGACGAGACAAAAGTTTAACATTTTGGAAGGCAAATGTCCCGTTACATCTGGCGTAGAAGTAACGCAGCATTTCAGACAAAGAACATCATACCAACAGTAAAATATGGTGGTGGTAGTGTGATGGTCTGGGGTTGTTTTGCTGCTTCAGGAACTGGAACCATGAATTCTACTGTCTACCAAAACATCCTGAAGGAGAATGTCCGGCCTTCTGTTCGTCAACTAAAGCTGAAACGATCTTGGGTGCTGCAGCAGGACAATGACCCAAAACACACCAGCAAATCCACCTCTGAATGGCTGAAGAACAACAAAATGAAGACTTTGGAGTGGCCTAGTCAAAGTCCTGACCTGAATCCTATTGAGATGCTATGGCATGACCTTAAAAAGGTGGTTCATGGTAGAAAACCCTCAAATAAAGCTGAATTACAACATTTCTGCAAAGATGAGTGGGCCAAAATTCCTCCAGAGTGCTGTAAAAGACTCGTAGCAAGTTATCACAAACGCTTGATTGCAGTTATTGCTGCTAAGGGAGGCCCAACCAGTTATTAGGTTCAGGGGGCAATTAGTTTTTCCACACAGGGCAATGTAGGTTTGGATTTTGTTCTCTCCCTAAATAATGAAAACCATCATTTCAAAACTGCCTTTTGTGTTTACGTGTGTTATCTTTGACTAATGGTTAAATGTGTTTGATGATCAGAAACATTTTGTGTCACAAACATGCAAAAGAATAAGAAATCAGGAAGGGGCAAATAGTTTCTCACACCACTGCATCTCCCGAATTAGCTTCTGATAGAAAATTAGGGCTGCAACTAACGACTATTTTAATAGTCAACTAGTCACCGACTATTGAAACTATTAGTCAACTAATCGGATAATTAAATTTTTCTTAAATTTAGCATGAGATTGCTTTAATTATGTGAAAAATGATAATAAACACAAGATGGATGGGTACTTCAATGGAAAATGCATATTTTATTGAACTTTGCTGCTGATAGGCCAATTCATACTAACAGTAAATAAAAATGCCCTGTCTCAGTGCTCAGTCAGTATAGACATAAATGCATAAATAAAATTAAAATATTTGTCAGGCACGGTTGGGCATAACATGAAATCTCTTTAAAAGCAAAAATACGTTTAAAAAAAATGTACATCCAAAACTAAACGTATGGCTTTCATGTTATTTAAATCTTACCGAAGCGAGTCAGACTGATTCATTCAGCTGTCCGACGTGCTTTCTCTTTAAGTGTTCATGCATCACCAAGGTGCTGCCGTGATACGTAAGGACTGCTTTGCAAACAATGCAGGTAAACTTTTTATTCGCCGGATCCAGGCTAAAATGCTCCCAAACTTTAGATGTTTTGGCACTCGTAGCTGCGGTGTTGGACGCCGCCATTTCTGTTGGCTGGCGCTCAGCAGAGAGACTATTGTGCATGTGCGACTCTCGGCAGAGATTGTAATGAAGTTAGATGCCTCACTCGGTTGGAAAAAAACACATATGGTGACAACGTTGACAATGAAATTCATTGTCGGCTATTTTTATTGTCGATATTTGTTGACAATGTCGACAAATCGTTGCAGCCCTATAGCAAATAGATGAAAATTTGGGATTTGAAAAGCCTGACAGAAGTATTTAGTTAGTCTCCAATTGCGTAAGTTCTCCGACTTAAAAAGATGAGAGAAGCCTGTAGTTTTCATTAAAGGTACACCTCAATGATGAGTGACTCAATTAGATAAAAAGGGGGCAGCAGTAGCTCAAAGAATTGAGTGGGTTGGCCTGTAACCAGAAGGTTGCAGTTCAATCCTGGCAAGGGACAGAGAATTCTGCTGTTGCATCCTTGGGCAAGACACTTAACCCACCTTGTCTGCTGGTGGTGGTTGGACTGAGGCCTAGTCCACACGTAGCCGGGTTTTTTTTAAACGAATATCCGCCCCTCCAAAAACTTGCATCCACACCACCTCGTTTAAAAAAAGAAAACTCTGTCCACACGTACCCGGATAAATACGTTGTTAAGGACATGCCAGACCTGTAGGCGGCAGTACTTCCCCCGTTCTTAACCTCGTCCTTCGTCTGTGGTCTTCCGCAAGGAGCAGTAATTCCGCTTGCAAAAACAAACAAGCAAAAAGCGCTTGGACAATTGATAAAGCGAGCGCAGCTCTGAGGGCATCCATGCTGTTGGCTAGTGTAAACTAGGGCCTGCACAACTTTATTTTTTTTAAAGTCGACAGTCAAGTAATGAAAGTCGAGTCGACTTCGACTAGTCGTTGATGACGTCATACGCCGGAAGCGGCGGCGGTGGGGGGGGTGGGGGTGGGGTCGGTAGGTTCGCTGGAGTTTTTGACAATTAAAATTGCGCCCACATTTTCTAAGTTAACACATCTCTTTTAACAATGATAGTTTCTGCATCCTACTTCAGTCCTCTCCCCCCTCCCCCTGCGCAGCAGCCGCAAACTCACTGATGCGCCTGCAGCCTTTCCTGCTGCTCTAAACATTAAAATAATTATTTCATTTTCTGTTCCTCACTTCTGATTACCTTCAATGGTGTCTGTTTGTTGCAACCACCAGGTACAAAACCTAACTTGTTTTTATTTGACTATTTTTCTGTCCTGTTTATTATCTTCCTGCATCTCCTCTCAGTCCTAAAGAAAAACTGCTACCTGGGTTCATATATATTCACCTTATGAGTTACCTTTGAACTGCAGTTCTAAAAGATCTACCGACCACTAAAACAGCGGAGTGCCGCTGCTCGCCGGCCGACTACAACGGGACCGTTTTTGCTGCGGAGTTCGTGCCGGAGCGGAGCGGAGTGGAGATAGTGGAATCTTGGGGGTGCGTCACCGGAGGACAACAGGTGATGCGCCTCGCTCCGCAGCAGCGAAATGCATCAGGCACAAATAACAGACAGAAAACATGAAAGGAAATGAGCCGACATGAACGATCGCGTGTTTAATTTGTTTTTGAGGTGGTGACACCTGATTTGGCGGTGCTCAGGACGCAGATGTCTGGAGCGCACGTCAACGATCAGAGCTTTGCATGCACAAACTGGTTAAGATTAGGATGGGGGTGAGGGGAAGGTTAAACTGCAAGAGGGAAAAGGTCACAGTTTGGTTAAATGTCCGTTTTACCGCCGGTGTCAGTACCGCCCAGCGCGTCGCCTCCGCCTCGATCCAGACGCGCAGGGGCTCATCACCTGCTGTCTTTTCCGAGGACTGCATCTTGTCAGTCATTATCACGTGACAGCGACTAGTTGATGACAGGCATAAAAAGTCACTACAGAGCCGTGAAGTCGACTAGTCAACTATTTCGTACAACCCCTAGTGTAAACACAGGTCGCACACGTGATGTCAGCATTTTTTTGTCGCGGAAAGTGACGTTGCGGACCTTAAAACTCCGGTCTTGTCTGTCCACACACAGACACCCAAAACGGAGAAAACGCAGATCTTCACTTTGGCCGGAGTTTTTAAAAAGATCTGTTTTCGTGTGAAAAAACTCAGTTTTCATGTGGATGACAGGCCAAAACGTAGAAAAATATCTACGTTTTGGCAGATCCCCGGCTACGTGTGGACAGGGCCTGAGAAAATTACAAGTTTTTTAAGGACACCTGCCCACTTCCCTTAATTTTGTATTTTTAAATACCTGCTGGCTAGTTGTCCGAAAACCTGGAACGACAACCAAAGTAACTTTTTGACCTTAGATTGTGTTTTTCTACCATTTTAAAGAAAACTAAGCTTCAATTAAGCTGTTAAAACAATCAGTTAATCTATTAATGCAGCTTTTTCTGCTGGGCTCTGTTACTGCCCTCCCCACCCCCACTCCCTTGAGGCCGGAATTGGATAGCCCTGGCGTAACCCTAACCTAAACCAAACCAATGTTGCTGTATTCCTCATTCCTCTAAACCAAACTGATAAGCTTAAAAGCAAGTGAGGACCAGAAAAATGTCCTCACATATTTGGGAATATAGTGAAAATGGTTTTCAGCACGCACACACACACACACACACACACACACACACACACACACACACACACACACCTGTATTGATCCTGTCCAGATCCATGTGGAGCAAACACGATGACTCAGCCACAGCTGACCGATCCTCAGGTGTTATTTAGCATGTTTAGCTAACAGCTGCAATAGAAACAAAGCAGGAGAGCTGATGAAGATGCTGCTTCAGAACAACACATGACATTAATGACATCAGCTGTGGACAGATCCAGTCCATGGAGAAAACAAGCAGCTGCTGCAGCTTTACCATAACACCAGAATAGCTTTGAAAAGTTCCACAGATATTATTGGAGTATTTTATTGTAATGAGAATGAGACGCGGCCGAAGCAGAGGACGACGGATGGGTTTGCAGCTGGTTGACTACCTTACTACGGTACCAGAGAGGTTTCTTGTGTCTCAACCTCAGACTAATGTTTTAAGCAGCTTTTTGTTACACTCACGTCGTCTGTAAAACCCCAAAAATTGTCATTTAATCCAACCAGAACGTTACCTACCAGTAGCTTCCTCTCCAGGCCCTGTGCAAAATGAGAGTTGCGCATGCGCAGTGTTATGGTTTTTCTTGTGCTCCGTGGGCGTCATTTGGAATCGCAGGATGTTCAAGCAAGATCCCGCTTCTGGTTAACTGAAAGGCCTTTCCGACGATTGGCTGTTTCATCGTTGCAAGGGTTTTACCTTTACCCATGGTTTTACCATGCATGGATGTTCTGGGACGCCCCATGGACTGGCACTGCCGTAGTGGCCGGCCGCCATCTTAGATGGGTCAGCATTCGCCCCCCAGTGCTTTCATTTCTACCGAGGAATGTGTTTACTTAACTACAACATGTTTTATCAAGCTTTTTTTTATTACACGACAAGGCATGATAATTAAAATATAAATATAAACAAAATAAATAAAAATAAATTTAAATATAAAATACCATCAGGTAGGCTAGAAAAGTCATTTTTGTAATCCCACGTGATCTGTTTTCAATTGTACACTGGTTGTTGTAACCGTAGGCTGCACAAAAATGGGCATAGTTGCTCACTCTGCATCGGTCCTTGTCAGATGACGTATCAAGTGTAGCTCGTTGCATTATGGGAGAGCTAGGTGTATAAACAAAGGAAGCACCGGTCACTTTAAGTGTTGCAAGTTTATTAAACTGCAGAAAATGGTACATTCATTTTGTGTGAAGGGCTGCCATGCTACCTTCACAAGAAGGCAAAAAGCTAAATGCAGGCAGGGATCACCTTAACCGGATATTTCCTGTTTTTGACCATTTATTGCAACGGAGAAATTGCAAGGTGATCAGTGATCTGATTGTTCCGTTCCTAATCGAGCACTTCGCTCTCAGACTGTAGGTTTACTGGTGGTTCCCAGAATAACTAAAAATAGGATGGGAGGCAAATCTTTTAGCTATCAGGCTCCTCTCTTGTGGAACCAGCTCCCAGTTTTAGTCTGTGAGGCAGACACCTTGTCTACTTGCTGAAAACATTTTTATTTGATAGGGCCTATGGTTAAATTCTGATGTTAGCCCAGATCTGGACAAGTGGGGGAGTAGAGGGAGGTGGAGTGTACAGTCAGTAAAGACAACTCTCCCTGCAACATGCCTCCATCTAAAAGGCTAAATTATCCAGAGTTATCTCTGTAGTTACGCTGCTATAGGTTTGGATTGCTGGGGGACATAATGACCACTTTCTACACTCTACTTTCTTCTACAGTCTGCTTTTTAACTGAATTATATCCTGCTATTTCAGTTGTTAACTTTATTTTCTCTAAGGGGTTTTCTCCCCAGAAGAAGCTACAATGGTGTTCAGCTGAGCTGTGGTAGCCTCATGGAGGAGACCATCAGCACACTGCTACTAACCACTTAAAAGAAAGAAAGAAGAACGAAAACGATCTTTTACATTGTGTCTCTCAAGATAAAAATCACGAGACACTTCACATAAACAAAAAAACAATTAAAATATAAAAAAGATTTAAAAAAAGACTATAAATATATTTAAAATTGATTAAAAACTGTGATAAAAATAATGTAAGATAAGGGCGAGAGGAAATGAAAAGGAAAGAGGGAAATGAGTGAATCGCGAGAAAAGCACAATAAGAAGAAACAGCAGAATAAGGGTGGTGATGAAGGTCACGCAAAAACAAGTGAGTATTTGGCTGTGTGTGTGTGTGTGTGTGTGTGTGTGTGTGTGTGTGTGTGTGTGTGTGTGTGTGTGTGTGTGTGTGTGTGTGTGTGTGTGTGTGTGTCAGGGTAGGAGGCAGCGCTATAAACTGGTTTCTTCAAAACAAATCAGAAGAAGAGTCCACCACATGTGACCCTTCATGGTTTCTCGCATTATCTGCTGCTGAACTTCAGCTAAAGAGAGGTAAGACCTCAGCTTGATCGCACACGCTTCAGATAACATGCTTCTCATGTGGAACCAACCAAATCCTTCAAATCTAGATTTTTCAGGTGAGAAGGACAACAAACCCAATCTCTAACCTTAATCTTCATCATCATCATCATCATCATCATCATCATCATTATCATCATAATCACTGTCTTCATCATCATCATCATCATCATCATCATCATCATCACTGCCCTCCCTATTATCATCATCATCCTCATGTTTATTTGTAAAGCAAGTTTAACAATCCAAAGGAATCTCAAAGTGCTGAACACTACACACATAAAAACCATCGACATATAAATATTGGACAATGGGTTTCCATAGACTCCAATAACACATTTTTGAAGAAAAATGGGAGGTGGCCACCACCGCCATTTTGACCGTGTCACAGGTTCCGTCAAGCCCAGACAATTTCACAAAAGGGAAGAGAGGTGGAGCTGAGGGTGGGGCTGTAAGGCTGGGATCAACTGACGACACCCGGCCGAACTAGCTACAAGCTAACCTGAAGCTAACCCAAAGCTAACACAGAGGTGGGAGCTAAGCTAATAGAGGCAGCAACCTAGCTACAACCGGAGTTAACTGTGCACAACACCAGAGCTTCTGAGTCAGGGACACGCCGGGCTGACCGCTGGGTAAAACCGGGTTGAACACAGAGGTCTCCCGAGAGCTCCACAAGCCGGCAGCCGCGCAGCAGACAAGCGCTGCTGTGATCTGAGATGCACAGAACTGCCGCTGGGGAGAACTGGGTGGAAAGGTTTCCATCCCAGATTTCCACAAGCCGGCAGCCCGCACAGCAGACAGGAGCCGCGATCAGACAGAGATGCGCCGAGCTGCGGGGAGGGGAGAAACGGGTGGAAAACATCGGTCTCCCGAGAGCTCCACAAGCCGATAGTCGGAACCCAGCTCCACCAACATGTTATATTTCAACCCATTTTCTAAAGTGCAGCATTATGTTAAATGCACTGGGTTTTACCCTATTACATTTAAATTTCATGGTTAAACAGTACATGTTAAAATCTATGCTCAGCTCGGCAGTGACCTAAAATACATAAATATAATTTTACTTACTGAAAAAAATGAAGTGGAGACTCATTGGACGCTCTATTAGTGCAATTACTGCCACAGCAAGTCATTTTGTCCAACAATTGCACAAAAAATATCCAAAAAAGAATACTCAAACACTACAACTAATGGTCTAAGCTGAGAGAATGAAACTGACGGAACCGTTTTCAGGCGAGACCGAGGCTCTACTGAGGCCTTTCCCTGGAGCTAGCTCTGTGGTCACGTGGGTCTGATGCTCATTAATTATACAAAATTTTAGGCTTTTAATACACTTAAACAGAAGAGTGAGAAAAAATTCACCCCCCTCAGAGTTGTCATGAGTGTAAACTAGATCATTTAAACCAAAAACATGTTTTGGTACCAGGCTGTAAACATGTTTATTTCTGCTGTGAAATTGGTATTTTTAACGTGGGAGTCAATGAGGATTTGCTCGCTTCTGACACCAGCCCCTAGTGGATGAGGGTGGAACTGCAATTTATTTCATTTCCGCGTTTGCTTCAATTTTTCACCCGCACTGTGGGGGCTTGATAAAAACATGAGCAAAACAAAATAGTAAGATTATTAAAACACGACTACTGAAACAATAAGAACACAGAGGCACAAATGAGAACACCAGTTACTATATGTGCTTAAGAGCTAGAGTGTAAAAACGTGTCTTCAGCCTTTTTATAAACACTTCAACTGAGGAGGATGTTCTAATGGTTCATGGCAGAGCGTTCCACAGCCTTGGGCCTACAAATGCAAAAGCTCTGTCCCCTGTTGTTTTCATTTCTGCTGTCGGAGCAACCAGCAACATCTGATGGGTTGATGGAAGTACGCGAGGAGGCTCGTACACACAAAGTAGCTTGGCCAAATATGACGGAGCTACAGGTGCTGGCCAGTAAATTAGAATATCATCAAAAGGTTGAAAATATTTCAGTAATTCCATTCAAAACGTGAAACTTGTACATTATATTCATGCAATGCACACAGACCAATGTATTTCCAATGTTCATTACATTTAAATTTGATATTCATAAGTGACAACTAATGAAAACTCCAAATTTGGTATCTCAAAAAATTAGAATATTCTGAAAAGGCTGAATATAGAAGACACCTGCTGCCACTCTAATCAGCTGATTTACTCAAAACACCTGCAAAGGCCTTTAAAAGGTCCCTCAGTCTTGTTTTGAAGGCACCACAATCATGGGGAAGACTTCTGACTTAACAGCTGTCCAAAAGACAATCATTGACACCTTGCACAAGGAGGGCAAGACACAAAAGGTGATTGCTAAAGAAGCTGGCTGTTCGCAGAGCTCTGTGTCCAAGCACATTAACAGACAGGCGAAGGGACGGAAAAAATGTGGTAGAAAAAAGTGTACAAGCTCTAGGGATAACCGCACCCTGCAGAGAATTGTGACGACAAACCCATTCAAAAATGTGGGGGAGATCCACAAAGAGTGGACTGCAGCTGGAGTCAGCGCTTCAAGAACCACCACGAGGAGACTCATGAAAGACATGGGATTCAGGTGTCGCATTCCGTGTGTCAAGCCACTCTTGAACAAGAAACAGCGCAAGAAGCGTCTCGCCTGGGCCAAGGACAAAAAGGACTGGACTGATGCTGAGTGGTCCAAAGTTATGTTTTCTGATGAAAGCAAGTTCTGCATTTCCTTTGGAAATCAAGGACCCAGAGTCTGGAGGAAGAGCGGAGAAGCACAGAATCCACGTTGCATGAGGTCCAGTGTAAAGTTTCCACCGTCAGTGATGGTGTGGGGTGCCATGTCATCTGCCGGTGTTGGCCCACTCTGTTTCCTGAGGTCCAGGGTCAATGCAGCCGTCTACCAGGAAGTTTTAGAGCACTTCATGCTTCCTGCTGCTGACCAACTTTATGGGGATGCAGACTTCACCTTTCAACAGGACTTGGCACCTGCACACAGTGCCAAAACCACCAGCACCTGGTTCAAGGACCATGGTATCCCTGTCCTTGATTGGCCAGCAAACTCGCCTGACCTTAACCCCATAGAAAATCTATGGGGTATTGTGAAGCGGAGGATGCAATACGCTAGACCCAACAATGCAGAGGAGCTGAAGACGACTATCAGAGCAACCTGGGCTCTCATAACACCTGAGCAGTGCCACAGACTGATCGAGTCCATGCCACGCCGCATTACTGCAGTTATTGAG